TGTTCTCTACAGTTTAAAAGGGGTAGGGAGTCCATAGACGATGATCCAAGGTCAGGCAGGCCTTCAGATGCCACCCACCCGGAAACTACTGCTGCTATAGAAAGAAGAATTTTGTCTGACCGACGAGTGAAAGTATCTGAACTTTCTAGGGAATTCCAAATATCAGTTGGAACTGTTGTAACCATTATTCATGAGCATCTTGGTTTTGTCCAAGGTATCCGCAAGATGGGTACCCAGAAACCTCAGAGATCAAGATCGCCATCAGAGAACAGAAAGTTGTCGAGACCTCCTGGATCTCTATACTGCTGATGAATATGGAATTCTTTCTCGTCTAGTGACAGGTGATGAAACATGGATCCACTACTGGGACCCAGAAACTAAATTTGATTCCAGCACCCCAATTCTCCGCCTCCGAGGAAGTTTCGCACTCACCCGTCGGCTGGCAAGGTTATGGCCACCATAGTTTGGGATGCAAGAGGCATATTACTGATTGATTACATGCCACAAAAACCTAGAGTCAATGGACAGTATTATGCTGATGTAATGAAAGAATTGCGAAAATCTATTCGCCAGAAACGCCGTGGGATGTTAACACGTGATATTCTACTATTGCATGACACCGCTCCGGTTCGCAAGTCGAGAATTGCTCAGACCGCCATTTGTGAATGTGGATTCGAACAGTTAAACACCCATCCTACAGCCCAGACTTAGCCCCCAGTGACTATTTCCTGTTCCGGCAAATGAAATCTGCCCTTCGTGGAAGACGCTTCCAGGATGACGAGGACATAAAGGCTGCCACAGAGGCGTGGTTAGAGAGCCAATCTGTGGATTTCTATAAAAAGTGGTATTAAAAGCTTGAAGGACAAATGGAATACGTGTATTGGGGTGAATGGAGATTATATTAAAATATAAAAGTGCAAAAGATATTCTGCGACTTGGTCTTGTATCGAAGTTGCAAAACGTATTGAACGCCCCTCGTATGTATTGTCATGCAACTCACTGTCGCAGTTGTGGTAGCATATCTATATAATTATGCAAAACAATATGTAAAGCGTCCCTAAATACTTGCATTAGTCCGTTCTATTCTGATTTCTGAAAAAGCACGTTTGTTTTCAAACAAGAGAAAAGTCCGGTCACGTGATATGCAAATTAGCCTATGGCAGTGGTGTTATGCTGAGTAACTGCGCCGGAATGTGGGTTGTCGATCTGAATTACGGAATCACCGACAACAACCTTTAAAGAAAATATAGCGCTCTATATGCTCAAACAGTTTGTTTACACCGCAATACTTTACTCGAACAAATGCATTGAAAGCTTGTGAGCACGGCAATTTCGTAAGCTAATATGAGGAGGGCGCCCCTAAAGAAAACTTAACAAGCCTCGCAAGCTTTCGTTCGACACAGCACGTCACCATCTTAACGTCATATCACTCATTGTGACGCAAAAGATATGATGTCACAGTCGTACATGGATATATAAAAGTGCCAAATTCCAAGCTCTCTGTTGTCCCCAAAACGGAAAATAATTCTCATTGTAGATTTCTATCGTGTTTTCTGCACGACATGTATTGCACAAACCCTTTAAACGTTGCAGTAACCGCAGCTTTGCAATTGTAACCTATTATTGTAGATATAATTATTTAAATATGCCTACCGACAATGACTGAAAAAAGTACTATTCAATGAATAAGCTTCCGTGGTGATGCGACCGTCAAATCGGCTGTTTCAATCAGAGGGGGTATGTGATTTGACAACCTCTGATTAACCAATCAGAAACGAGTACTTTGAAAATTCATGGATTTGGCGGATAACATGTGTCCTGTACACTCATCAGTCAGTTGTTCGTCCATTCGTGTTGCTATGGTTACCCTGGGGGGAATGATTCTTAAAGTACACTGAGAATCCTGCAGTGGTACACAATCTCTTAACCACCCGTTACAAGGTCTCTCTGTTGATGCCATCGCACAGTACCAGACATGGGACCTTTTTTAAACTTTAGAGGTCTCAAACAAAAGGCGTCACTGTCATTTGGACTGGAATTGAGGTATATGTAATCTAATCCAAGTGGAATCGCATATATTCAGCAATTTGCTTGGCGTCAATATTTGTTTTTATTTGTTGTTTAATACCGCACTCAACAATATTCCAGCTATATGACGGCGGTTTGTAAATAATCGAGTCTGGACCAGACAATCCAGTGATTGACATCATGAGCATCGACCCACACAATTGGGATACAATGACATGCATCAACCAAGTCAGCGAGCCTGACCACCCGATCACGTTAGTCGCCTCTGACGACCAGCATGGGTTGCCGAAGACCAATTCTGACCCGGATCTTCACGGGTCGTAGACAATGTAGACAAAGGTAGACAATGTGAGTGAAAAAGATAAGCAATTACAAAATTTCTCAATCATCCTTGAATGTGAAAAATCAATTTCACTCGTGGTTGAATGTCTTTGGCGCTAAATATAATACACTTCCAGTTCATGAAAGATAGTAATTGACATACACCTATTTATCAAAATATATGGAAAGTACAGGGAAGGGTATTTTGTTCAAATTTGATTTGTACCTTTTGCATCCATTAATGTTAAAAATGTCAATAACACATTTTATACAAATAACGATGAATTCTCAGAACACTCACCTCAAAGGTCTGTTCAACATATAACTGAGCCAGGAGTCCTTGCAAATAAAACCGGAAACCTGATCCCACGTTATATTCACCTCAATAGAGATTTAAGTAACCACACACGTGCTGTGCTGTATCTTGAATTGCAATAAGAACCGGTTTGATAATTAGCTGAAACTGGTTTCGAATTCAGGTTTAAGTAGAATGGACTCAAAGATGCGTCAATAGCTTCGAACGAAATCTCTTGCACAACTATTGACGCGTCTTCGGGATCTATATGAATTGTCAATACCAGAGAGTAAACAGTCTCGATTATCCGCCGAAACAGATTCCTTTGGGCGCAGAAGGCCAGATAGTGGTGAAATATTATATGAATGGATCACTAAATATCGGGTCGTGAAATCTTTGATCGATATTTTTTATTCGTTTTTGTGTGAATAGGCTTTTTAATTTTGAGGTATTGCATGGAATTGGATACTTATTTTAATCATATTTGGACCAGTCAGAATCAAGCAATCTTTAGTGTCAATAGAATTGTATATATCTTTTGTTGTGATTATTTTGTGGGAATTAAACATTGGATTAAGTTTATAAATAATAATAATCCATTAAAATAGCGTTAGGCTTCCCACAGGTGATTGTACAATGTATATAATACAGGGAAGGAATATGACTTTTGGGGGATAGATATGATGGAGCTTAGTCGGTCTTCAAAATCTTGTAAACAATGGTGAGCAGTTTGAAATTGATTCTGTTAGGAACAGGAAGCCAGTGAAGTTCCTGGAGTACTGGAGAGTGGTGCTGTTTTCGTGGGCACCTTGTCACGATTCGGCCGCTGTGTTTTGGATAATCTGAAGACGTTGTTATGGTGATGAAGACATATTCGCTGACGGATAACGCCTACGTCTGCCGATCTGATGGAGATGGGGATAGGCTGACTGGCACCCATGTGATCTGCTTGTTCATGGTCTTACTTGAATTATAATAAATAAACTACGTGTTTTCCGCTGGCAGGGAGTACTACATACAGGCTTGTAGAAAAGCCTTGCAGAAACAGACTATAGACTGCGCACACTACGTCAACATTTCATCTCGCTACCTTCGAAACATGAAGTGAACGAGTTACCGGTTTGTTATTACCTCAAGTTGTGGTAATAAAATTATGACTATTCAAGCACAAACCCAGGGGGAAATAATTTTTTTTAATATGTCAGATATTTACGGGGATAACCGGCCACCATGTCTGAATAGGATTTATGAAAGCGGTGTTCTCGGTTGTGACGTAGGGTCATGTTTTGACCGTAGGACCCCATCTCGACCCTCAACTAGCACGCCTGGTGCTCCGCTTGTTCATGGTCCTACCTGAATCATTATTTGGACACTCCTAGATTTTATCCTGCCAGGAGACAGGCACTGCTACAAGACCAATGGTGACAGAAATAAGATAAATGTGTTTATTCATATATTCAAAGTCAACGCCAAAAAATAACCAGTCTCGATTATAGGCCGAAACAGATTCCACTGGGCATAAAAGGCAAAATAGTGGTGAAAATTATATGAATGGATCAATGAAAGTCAGTGATGACACCAGGAGTTCCCGAAAAGGTAAGCATGTCCTGCCCTACCGGCAGCACCCGTCACTCATACAATTTTCATAAAAAAGGTAAATGTTGTTTTTGCCTGTTTAGATTTACCAGTTAAAAACGTTCGATGCTCAGTGGCTACCCTTAACATTATAACACTGCGGCGCCATGCATCGAGACCACATTGTAATGACGTGATTGTAAGAACATAAATCAAATATATGAGGTATTGGTGTGGCAACGAGTTCGATAATAGCAAACACGTTCACGTAATATATACTGTTTGTTGAACTGCATTGATTGTCACAAAGGTGTAGCGTCCTATAGAGATTTGTACGAATGAATCGAGTTTGACTATTTTACATTCAGAATGATTGAGCTAAACCTGAATGTGTTGTTAAATTAAATCTACACTCAAATCTAAATATTGCTTTTACAGACTATTGTTGTTCGATTTCCTGTATGAACAGAGTAATAATATATAGTGCAAATTTCAGAACAGCGTTCCATTTAATTGTATAGTTGACAACCATCGCCTTGATCGGTACGTCCCCCGGGTGTGTACGCACACATCAATGTCCACGGTGTAGATTTCCTTATCCCAAACGCTCGACAGTTGAAAACTTCACGTTCTTGTTCACGCTCGTATTGATTATGATCATTATGCGATATTTGCCATCAGCTGCAGACATGTTTAATGTGCTGTTAACGTTTGCTATGTATCGGTAGACGTGGAGACATGATTGTAGATAACTCAGATAGGACCACAACGCTGTTGACGACGGTGGCGGTATGGATGGTGTCGTCCTCGCCGTGGTCGTCGTTCTCGTACAATATGCCACGGGATCGCTGATAGAAATAGGTATGTGAATTTAATCAAGGTAGCATGTGACGTTAATTTAACATAACCATTAAGTCATGGTAAATAACTATTTGAATAATATATCCCATGGAATTGTCTATTTTGTTCTACTTTGGTCATTTCATATCCAACGGTTATGCGTCAGGCATCGTTGGCGACCAACATGTTTACAGCTGCCACATTGATCATGTCTTTCTAGCCTAAACCTTCAGATATCGATCATTGCGTTATGATTGGCACAACCCCCATACTCTAACATAGACTTAAGACAATACGTAACTTCGACTTTCCTTGTTAACGCTGAGACTGTCGTTACCCCCATACATAAACTGACAATATTATACAAATTCTAAGATATCATAGCGTGAGGGCCCGATTTTATCGAAAATAATATATTGTTCAAGAAAATGTTTGAAAAAAACATTCATGTTTCAGACTGTTGTAAAAATGTCTGCCATAAATACTAACACCTACATTGTTGCAAGATGTATTTCTAAGAAATATCCAGTCTCCATTAAAAATCCCATACTCATTCGTACCAGACAAAGGCTGTTATATATATATATGTAATGTGTCCGATTAAGCTGGTGCAGATTAAACTGATGTATTGAATTGTCCCTGTTGCCATGACAACAAGGATAATGTATAATGTAGTAAACTAGTTTTAGAATCTAGCGAATATGTCTATTTACAATTACCAAACAATGTCAGGATCTAGACCGGTAGGGGCGTGTCTAGCCACCAGCTGGGATTTTCTTTGACGTTCTACCATGCCACGTTGCATTAAATATAGAAATCAATGAAATCATTGATTTGTAAGTACCCTCAAATTCCATTTAGTTTAACACGTATTGGTCAACATTTGATAATATTTTAGTAGTCAACACAAATAAAACTATATTATGTCGCATTAACGAAACAATTCAACATAATTAATACCATATATCGTTCACCTTGGCGTATGGTGGATAGGTTAGGTGATGTGAAATGGAGTTAATGTCGCGTTTAAGATTATTGCACATATATATATAGCAACGTGCATGCGCGCGCGTGCGTGCGTGCCTGCATGCCTGCATGCGTGCGTGCGTGCGTGCGTGTGTGTGTGTGGCTGCTTCTACTAGCCCAGTGTGTGGTTCGGGCTGTTGATTATCAGTAGGACTAACCAAAGTCATTTGTAAAATGCGTTTTTCGATGTTTTCTGAATATTTTGATCATGCTGTATATATAGAATTAATCAAGAATTAATATTCAGCGAAAAGTTAAGAAAATATAATGGTTTCAAATGCCATTTAGCAACGTTTTTCAACTTGTCTGACAGCAGCACACACTCCCATTCGTTTTAAAATTGTGTGTGTGTGTGGCTGCTTGTACTAGTCCAGACTTATGCCGATTTTATATGTGCCAGCCCACTGAGATAACGTGAATACCCCACTCAGACAAAGTACTGACGCCGAGACGACCGCTCCTTGTCTTAGCCCCTTAATGCCGAGCGACAGGCAGGGTAACAACAAGTACCATCTTTTAACGTCTTTTGGTAGTGCGCGACCGGGGATCGAACCGAGGGCCGGTCTCCGCTATAGTGGATAGAAAGAAAACATAACATTGTATCTCACGAGAAGCTTTTGTTACTTTCTCTCTGCAGGTGTCGTGGCGGAGAATGTTTACGGCAGTCAGGTCATTACTCATAATGGAACAGGCCACGTGGGACGCATACACTGGTTCGACGAAAGAAATGGATCCGTTTTCCATAAAGTAGCTCAAAGTAAGTAATGTATAGAATCATAAAACACAAATGAGGTATATCTCATGATGGCAATATCTTATACCAGTGGGGGCGGTAGGGTAGCCTTGTGGTTAAAGCCTTCGTTCGTCGCGCCGAAAACCTGGGTGCGATTCCCGACATCAAGGCCATTTCTGGTGTCCCCCGCCTTGATATTGCTGGAATATTGCTGAAAGCGGCGTAAAACCATACTCACTCACTCACTTATATTACTGAACAAAATCAAGTCACTTTAATCAGTGGATACGCTAAAACTCATCTCAACAGCAATTTTACAGTGAAATCGTAAAGGTTTGAAAAAATGTTGGATTAACGCGTCTACGGAATTACTCTCAGCACTGAGTGTCGTGAAGAACTGCCCAGGTACGTATACACACTTTGAATTACAGTAAACTATGGTTATAACGAACACGCTTACAACGAACTGACGGATATAACGAACTTACTTTTCAGTCCCGACTACTTGCTGTAGTTATGCTGTTTATGTGCTTATAACGAACTACGATTATAACGAACTAAAATAAGTAGTCCCTTAGAATTCGTTTTAACCCTAGTTTACTGTATTCTGCGTCATTCCATTTCTTCCTAGACGTTTATTTAACCGACGGTCCGCTATTAAACCGTTTAATTTTAATATTAAAGAGTACTTGAAAACCAGCAAGAATGGCAGTGTACATCTGTTTACATTGTGTATAAAGCAACTAGTTTTGAATGATTCGTTCATTTCATGTCTAAAGAACAAATCAAAGTGAGCTAATCGGAAAATCAGTGTAACACGATGAGTTTTAATGATTGGAAGATATAATTATGTAGGTGTTCAATTGTGTGAGTGCTGCGTGCTAGAGGTAGGACAGGGCATGTTTACCGTTTTCGCGAACACCTGGTGTCATCACTTTCAGTGATCCATTCATATATTTTTAACCACTCTTTTGCCTTTTAATCCCAATGGAATCTGTTTTATCAGAAAATCGAGACTGATTATTCTCTGGCGTTAACGTTAATATATACGCCGTGGGTTTAAGAATAAAGATCTTAATCTTCAAATCCAATGTTTACTCCCGACAGAATAAATCATAATATACGATATATACAATTCAACCATGACACTTGAAGATTGCTTGATTCCGATATGTCAAAATAAGATCATTAAAATCAAGTATCTAATTCCATTCGATACCTCAACACAAAACTGCTATTCACGCAAAAGAATTGTGTATGAAAACATCGATCTATTGACATCCTGCACAAGGATTCATGTACAAATGACTGCCGATAACTAATTAGAACTGTACACATTCGATGTCAGAAGAACAGGCTCGCAAACATGATAAAATCTATTTCAGTACACACGCAATTAAGTAAAACACACACTAACCACTGGGACAGGTCCATATAATTATCGATGCCAAACTCGAGGAACCTTTCAGATTTTCTTGTATCGCAAAATGACGACTCGTCTACAGCTAAACACCGCGGTATTCAACCATACTTCAGGGTGGTTCCGTTGGAAATGAGGTTGCGTCAGCAGACTAATGTCCACCAATAAATTAACATGTTAATGCTGAATATAATTCTAGATCGGGGTGTCCCCTGGGTTCGTGCAGTTTGTAAATTGCACTGTCACTACTAATACAACGTAGATGTAATCGTGGGGGTCGGTGTGGTGACAAAGAGCTGACTATAGCCACAGTATATGCCAATGTGACAATCAAGAGGCCCATTTGTGGTTAATGATAGGGTTAAGCACAGTAGAATCCCATAGGTTCCCTCGTAAAAGTGTGATCTTCGTACATAAAACCTACCTAATGTCAACATATCAGCATGCATATATGAATACATGACACTTTTTATGGATAGCAATTTCTTTTAATCTTTGTCATGACGTTTCAGAGCTCACCTGATGAAGGTCCAAAGTAAAACAAAGAATAAAAGAAGTTGCTATGCATAAAAAGTGTCATGTATTCACGTTCTTTCAACTTCTAAATGCCTATCAAGGACTTAATCCATAGTTAGATTACCTCAAATTTCAAAAGACAGTAAGTGTATCTCCTAAATGATCATGCTGAATGAGAGGGTTCGATGACAGGGGATTAAAATGCAAAAATGGCCATCATCTGAATCATTGATTGTGTGAGAGCGGAGTCACGTAACAACTAGAACAAGACTGCCGTTAAAAACTACCGCTGTAGCAACAGCAATCCGAATGAACGTGCACCATGCGAACAGCTGGTGTCATCACTGAATTTCAGTGGTCAATACATACAATTTTCACAGCTATTTTGCCCTTTACGCTAAGTGGAATTTGTTTCGGCAGAAAATTTGGGCTGGTTGTTCTCTGGGATTGGCAATTTGTATTTAAATGTGTGCGTTTTGAGGAAAGTTCGTCAGATGTCTTCGCACGATTTGCACATGTCCTTCTGTCCAATCCGTATGTTGGTGAAACATTCTGAAAAGAATTACAGTTTGCGAAAAGCTTGAAAAGACTGCTCACCATTTTCTGCACTGTCAAATGTATGCAGAAACCTATGACTGTGTGTTTGAGTCACCGTTCGCCCCGATTAAGTTTCTAGGTTTGTCAGGACCTTAATCGCGCTCGTGAGTTTCATCAAAGTGGTAAAAACTGAGACCTGCATCACTTCGGGCTTTCCTCCCACATTAAGCTGACACGCCGTGATAGAACTGGAATATTCTTAAAATCAGCGTTAAACACAAATCACTCACTACCAGAGATGCTCAGATCAAAGTCGCTGAAAAGTATTCCTTTTCGAAGTACAATCAAAAGGAACACAACCACTCACTCACACTGAATATTAATCTGTCATTGTCTGGACTAGTTTCAAGAAATATTGCTCGGAGAGAAACTTAAGATGGAAGTCTTGCGTATTTTAAATACTGGGAAAATTTCTTGACATTATGTAAATCGATTTTAGATGTAAATTTTATTTATCGTAAAATAATCAGCCGATGGTAATCTATTGTTAAAAATTGGCACACATCATTGTCATTGACCCAGGTTCCATATGACACACATGGAACAGCCGATTTTTGCGTTTCTTTTTTTTGCAGAGTATAATGTTTTATCTTGTCTTCTAAGAACATAACAAAGATGTATTATTTTCAAGGACAGTTTGCTCGAAGACCCATACTTAAGCCAGTCGATATGTTGGTGAACGCATAAGTCTGTTGTAACATTTGAATGTTTATTTTGAAAGTTTCAAGTATGAGGAACCGCAAACTGGACCTCATCATAGCGCCAGACCCTATGAGAGGAAAGTCGGTGAAATTCATCAGACCGGAGTCGTTTTATAAGGAATCGTGGAACAATAGATATCGTCTCTCATCTAGCACGGAGTACCCCCTGGAACCTCCTTTGTCCGACCACCTCGACTACACCAGCAAACTCATCCACAACCTGGAGTGGAATTCGACCACCATACTCAGTGACAGGGAAATCAGTAGGTAGAATCTTGAGTAAAACTGCCAAAATGTCGACATACTGCTGGCGGTATAATACGTATTATGATAACATTCTGTTTGTTTGATGTCTAATGCCCTGTTCTAGCTATATGACGGCGGCCTGTAGATAATCGAGTCTGGACAAGACAAACCAGTCATTGATATTATGCGAAACGTCCCAAATTATCGCAATCATCAAAGTCACCGAACGTGACCACACGAACCATTTAGTCTTTTTTTATGACAAGACATGGGTTGCAAGGAACATAGTCTAATCCGTTATTTCTTAAACAAGCCCAATGCTTCTGACTGGGATTCAACTCTATAACTCTCGGGTGCAGCAGAAAGAAGCAAGGTGAACTTCGTCATCACAGACCATTAGGCAGCACGTATCGCCGAAAAGTCATATATTGGCCGCCAGACTTAATCCTATACAACCGCCTCCGTGGTCCAGTTGTAGAGCGTCCGCCCGGAGAGCGGAAGGTCCGGGGTTCGATCCCCGGCCGCGTCATACCAAAAGACGTTAAAAGATGGTACTTGTTGTTACCCTGTCTGGCGCTCGGCATTAAGGGGCTAAAACAAGGACTGGTCGGCTCGGAGTCAGTATACTGTGTCTGGGTGGGGTATTCATGTTAAACTGCGGCATGGTATCTCAGTGAGCTAACACTATAAATCGGCATCAGTCCGGACTAGTACAAGCAGCCACACAAACACACATACGTACATGCACGTCGCTATATAAGTGCAATAATCTTGGACGCGACGTTAATCCCCGTTTCACCTCACCTAATCCTATACATGCAAGACGAATACTTGGACATATTTACATGCAATTTATATTGAAACGCCGACCAGGAAATAACGGAATAACTGGCGCCCGGCAATATCTTACTTATTTATGTAATTGTGTGAGTGCCGGGTGCTACCGGTATGGCAGGACATTCTTACCCTTTACGCGAACACCTGGTGTCATCACTATTGATTTTCAGTGATCCATTCATATAATATTCAGTGCTGTTTTGCCTTTTTGGCCCACTGGAATAGTTTCGGCGGATTGTCGAAACTGGTTATTCTCTGGCGTTGACGTTTAATATTAATTTCTTTTAAATGTTTTTCCAGGCCATGAAAATTAGCAGATTTTTCTACTTCTTTTTTTTCAAATTCAGGTGTTGACTCGCATAGCCTGGCAAGGGGCCTATCACGGCTTGGCGTCAAGTCAGAACTGGTCTTCGTGAAGAAAGACGGTAACCTGAAGTTCCTGGCACCGATTATGGAACAGATTGGCATGGACAATATGAAACTCAGACTACGATTTGTCCTAATGTGTTCCTTACCACTTATCAGGCAAATTCTTAAAGAGGTAGGTAACCACAAACCGCCCCATCACATGGTGATGGTCTTACTGAGTTTGCTCTGTCCATACTTTAAGTTTATACTTTTAGCTAAAATTATGCGGTTATATATAAGCAGCATTTTAATACTTTTTTGACGATTCGGGAGAAAATAAAATTCGGGAGAAATATGTTTTCCTCTCAGTCGATTCTTAAAATGTAGGTCAAGATGGTAAGGGAAGTAGCTTTTTCTATCCTTATCTTTATTTCACCCACTAGTTCCATAGCTTAAAACAGATTATTGATTCCTGTTTTCACCATAGACCCTACAGTTTATAATGTAATCTTGCGTAGGCCAAGAAATTCAATAAGGGACGTGTTGACACACCTCGCGCCTATAAATATTTTCGTACATATTTGTAACAGCGATGTAAATTTGCATCCCTCGGCCTCGGCAACACACACACACACACACACACACACACACACACACACACACACAAACACACACGAAAAAGGATCCATTTTTTTCGTCGAACCAGTGTATGCGTCCCACGTGGCCTGTTCCATTATGAGTAATGACCTGACTGCCGTAAACATTCTCCGCCACGACACCTGCAGAGATAAAGTCATAAAAGCTTCTCGTGAGATACAATGTTATGTTTTCTTTCTATCCACTATCGCAGAGACCGGTCCTCGGTTCGATCCCCGCCCGCGTCTTTCCAAAAGACGTTAAAAGATGGTACTTGTTGTTATCCTGCCTGTCGCTCGGCATTAAGGGGCTAAGACAAGGAGCGGTCGTCTCGGCGTCAGTACTGTGTCTGAGTGGGGTATTCACGTTATCTCAGTGGGCTGGCACATATAAAATCGGCATAAGTCTGGACTAGTACAAGCAGACACACACACACACACACACACACACACACACACTCGCGCCCCCTTTACGCTAATTTTAAAACGATTGGGAGTGTGTGCTGCTGTCAGACAAGTTGAAAAACGTTGCTAAATGGCATTTGAAACCATTATATTTTCTTAACCTTTCGCTCAATATGAATTCTTGAGTATATGATTTTCTCAATTCAAACTTTAATTACCGCATTAATTCTATATATACAGCGTGATCAAAATATTCAGAAAACATCGAAAAACAAATGTCTTTGGTTAGTCCTACTGAAAATCAACAGCCCGAACCACACACTTTTAAATACCGCATTAATTTTATATATACAGCATGATCAAAATATTCAGAAAACATCGAAAAACAAATGTCTTTGGTTAGTCCTACTGAAAATCAACAACCCGAAATCGAAAATGATACAGCAATTTCAGCATGTCCTGTCAAATAATATCAAACTTTCATTTTTGTTATCTATAGGTTAATATAGACCGCCATGTTGATGTTGTCAATAGGTAAATATGGACCTCTTATTCCACGTTCCAAGGCCTGGTAGTCGTCTAATTATAGTTGTTTAAGCACGTTTCATCCAGATGAAAGCAAAATACCATAAGTAACCGCCATGCTAATATCGACGTTGCTTGTGTGGTTACCCCGGTAATGTATCAACTGAATAGAACGTGCCCTGTTTGCCATCAATTTAGTGAAACTATATATTTTTGCAGTTCAAACACATTTTTAAAGAAAAACTGATTATCCGAAAATCATTTATCCCGAACATTAGTTTCCCCAGGCACGTCCGTGTGTGATAGGAAAGTAAATTAACTCCAAGCTTTAATTTTAGACAACGTTCAGTCAGTCTGACTTGCTTTGTCTAAGTAATCAGAGTTAGTAATGCCTTGTTTTCGTTCTCTGATAAAGTGTGACCAGGAAAGCCATGTTTAAATGCACTTCAGAACGAACTGAAAGTTAAACAATAATGTACGTCATGGCGTCATGTCCTTCATCCGATACATCCTTAAAAGGGAACACGTGTGTGTTATTCCTGTCTATCTTCTCCACCTTAACCATTACGACTGTAATGGAATGTGTGCATATCACTTATCTATGGGCACTCATGAGGAGGAACATTCGATAAGCGTGTTGACACACAATTCTTGCCTCCTGGAATTGGTTGATATACATTAATTCATCAATAATTACTTCCCAACATGTCACACAAACGGGAGATTAGAAACAACATAGTGTTCCTAACTAAATAATAGCCATTTACACTTACAATCTCTTGTAAATAAGGGGCGGTCGGGTAGCCTAGTGGTTAAAGTGTTCGTTCGTCACGCCGAAGCCCCGGGTTTGATTCCCGACATGGGTACATTGTGTGAGGCCCATTTCTGGTGATATTGCTTGAATATTGCCAAAAGCGGCGTAAAACCATACTCACTGACTCTTATAAATAGGAAGCGACACAAAACTTAATTAGACACACTCCATATTATATTTTTTTTTAATCCAGCATGTCTTGAGAACGAAATGTTTGATTTGGTAAAAGGGACAAAACAATTTCCTATATTTTCAGGAACCGATTATTATTTTTAAATACGTTTTTTCCATTAACACAATCTCAGCTCTACTAAATATCAAATGACCTACAACTTACCAAGGCATCTCTTAGGTTTTAAATCGAATCCCAGGGTCGCCAGAGTCTTGATTTGTCAGCTCCATACTCAGGAGTTGCGCCAAACAGTCAACGTCTACAGTCTGCATCACTTCGTGTTTTCCTCCATCATTAAGTGAGCAGGCCGTGGTATTCTAGAAATACTGAAGAAAGCGTTAAACCCGACCCATTTGATCCTGATATTACTTGTATTATCCTAAAGGCATTGTCTTCCAAAGCTTTCGGCCATGGGAGGCGTGCAATTCATCAGAGGGGTACACAAAGACCTTGATCTAGACTACCAGTTGATGGAACTATGTTGACAATATTCTAAAGACAATATATGATATCATAGCTTTATTGAAGACTCGTATTGTATTTACCAGTGTTCTTAAGAACAACGTTTGAAAGCTAAATGGTATATGCCATGTCGGCTATGTGTGAACTTTGTGCACCATTTGGATTACGGTGGATTTATGTGCAATGTGAAATTCATTGGATCTTGTTGGAACATGGGACAATATGTTAGCAAGAAGTAGTACCTTTTATTTGTTCTCACTGACACTTGCTTATGACTATTGTGTCTGATGTGATGTTTGTTAGACTGTCAGAGAGAGAGAGAGAGAGAGAGAGAGAGAGAGAGAGAGAGAGAGAGAGCTTTATTTCAGTAAAGGGGCCACCGGCCAATTATACAATACATGATATCAGTGTTAGACAATTTCAGCGCCAATGAGAAAGTTATAACGCTTTTTAAAAGCAAGAAATATATATTTAGCTAAAGCATTAATTATGCATGTTGTTTTCGATGTACAGAGTGTTACAAATTTATCAAAAGTTACATTTGTGTAAAAATAAAAAGGTAGAACCTTACGTCTCAAACTGTCATAGTATGGACATTGTAGACAAAAATGATATTCAGATTCCACTTCAGGTCTTACACAGACATCAACCGTGTAATGGATAAACGCGTAACAAATGACAAGACAAGAGATAAACTATTAGTTCAAATTGACAATTCAAAGTCTTTTGGGAAAGTATACAAATCATCTAAAAGGATTTTTATATCCGGTATATTTGTTGGTGGTCTAAACATTTTAAAGATGAGTTTGATATATCTGTTGATCCATCATGTACATCTGATTCTGATGATAATGACGATGGTTGTGACGAGGAGGAGGGTGTAATTAACAATGAACTCAGCGATAAACCATTTAGCGATAATGTTACTGATGGTGCTTTGATTTGTGATAAATGTAGAATATCGTTGTGAGATTGTAGTTTCATTTTTTTACAGTGAAATCATCATATGAGCAAGACTGACATTCGTCTCCCTCAAATGGCTCAAACATATTTGGCTACACAATGTTCAAACATCATTATGTGGTTGAACCTTATATCAACATTACATATTAATGTTTTTACTTAACATAGACGGGTACTTGCTCGGTTTAAATGTGTATTGCAAAAACTAAGGATAGAGACCGGCAGATATATTGTGGAAAACAGGAATGATATTTTCTGTAAGAAAGCATATGTTGAAGAAGAATATCATTTTTCACTTGATGTGATATCTATAATTCATTGAGATTTTTCTATATTCCAGCCATGTTTTACGTATTGCCAACAATGCACAAACTAAGAAACCTATAGTTGTGGGTTAGAATCAGGTTCGCTCCAATTATGGTTTGAGGTTTGTCAGCACCCTCGTTCGCTGTTCGTGGGTTTCACCAAAGTGGTAAACGTCTGAGACCTGTATCACTTCTGGCTTTCCTACCACATCAAGCTGACACGTCGTGATATAACTGGAATACTGTTAAAATCAGCGTTATGCCCACCTTACTTACTCACTAACAGAGGTGCTCAGATCAAGGTTATTCCTGTATTCCAGTATTCCTGTTCGAAGTACAGTCAAACCAAATACTTCCACCATGACTTCTATTTTTAGGCTGAGGACTTAGACGCGTGTTTTGGGAAAGGTTCCTTGTTTCGCCATTTTTCTCAATGGATTCTGCTACTGCCTCGATCTACCCTCAGAGTCATAGAGGGAATGGACCTGAAGCTGGACCATGTCGCCGTCATCAGCAGGTCATACAAGAACTTCGACATCAGAAAATTAACACAGGTTAGCTGCTTGCATACATTTATTTACTTGTTTGTTTGTCTGGCTAGAAAGCGGTACGTCGGTGGTTCCACCTCTGGCCGCTTCATACTGAAAGATAGTACTTGTTGTTACCCTACCCAGCGCTCGAGAAAATAAGGACTGGTCCGCTAGGTGTCAGTATATTGTGTCCATGGGTGCTCATGTTAAACTGCGGCCTGGTATCTCGGTGTGCTAGCACACTAAAACCGGTATTAATCCGGGACAGATCAAGCAGCCGCACAAACACACACGTGCATGCACGTCGCTTTTTAAGTGCAGTAATCTTAAACGCGAAGTTTAACCCCCTCATGTCACCCCACCCGCTTGTTTGTCATTTTTTATTCAGACAATAAGGGCGTTCCTAGCAGATCCATCTGATGCATACGGTAATTATCTAATTTCTGAGCAAGATGTATGCGATAGTTAACAATACATGAGCATTCATATGAAATGCCTGAAATTTGCCCCACGTTGCAATTACAATACTTGGGAATTAACGGCCAATGTTTACCTCTCGTTCAGTGGGTAGTGAACACAACCTTGGAAGTCTTGTCGACAGAGCAGACCTGGAACAGATCTGATGCCACGGACCACTTTCTTCGCGTAAGTAAGCAGCCCAGTCAAGCTAGATGAGAGAGGTGGCCTCCTGGTAAAAGCTCGGTGTCACGCCGGAGATTCGGGTTCGATTCCCCACTTGGATACACCACTAACTGAATTATTATATACTATTACAAATCCTTACCGTCCGATCCATTTGTAAAGCTGTCCTCATAGTGATACGGAGCGGTGGGGTATCCTTGTGGTTAAAGCGTTCTCTCGTGACGCCGAAGACCCGGGTTCGATTCCCCACCTGGTTACAATATGTGAAGCCCTTTCTGGTGTTCCCCCGCCGAGATATTGCTGAAATATTACTAAAAGCGGCGTAAAACTAAACTCACTCACTCATAGTGATAATTGTACGTAAATTAAAGATTTGATAATAGGACATGGACGGTGAACTTGATTGATCAAAGAATATCAATTTAAAATAAATAACATGAAAAACAACAGTGTAAACAAATATCCAAAAAATATCATAGTCCCTAACTTTTTTATTCCAAAATATCAACCGAGTTATTTTCGGTGGTAATGCATTCCAGCAGGTTCAGCAGAAACGTTTTCATGGCAATGACTTAGATCCTGATTATTTATTTTGTAGATTGTCAGAAGAGAGGACGACATGAGAACAGTAAACACCATGTTACACACGTTGCTATGGAAACCTCATGGCCGGAAGTTATCGTCCGTCCAGCATGATGCTTCTCACGATGATGTGTTCCCGAATCGGAAACTAGGACTGAACCAGAGGAAGCTGAGAGCCGCGGCACTTGAGGTGGGTCCTACATGACATAGTACGGGAACTAAGGCCAAACTTGTTTAATCCACCGTCGAAACTGAAAGCAGTAGGTTTGTATTCCGCCAGTTAGAAATAAGTTAAATGATTAAATGATAGGAATTGTTTATTTATCTATTTTCGAACTGTTGACATCCGCAACCACTACCCACCCCAAACAGAAATTCGGGCCTAATATGATATATGACTGTCCATCTTCCCGAAGCAAGCGTGTCCACTAGCCTCTATCAAAACCTAGTTTCTACCCTTGCCATATCCTAGCTCAACCCGACCCGTTAAGATCCGGGGTAGAATAGGTCTTCGGCTACCCATGCTTGCCGTAAAAAGGCGACTATGCTTGTCGTAAAAGGCGACTAACGGGATCGGGTGGTCAGGCTCGCTGACTTGGTTGATGCACGGTCATCGATCCCAATTGCGTGGATCCATGCTCATGATATCAATCACTGAATTGTCTGGTCCAGACTCGATTATTTACAGACCGCCGTTATATAGCAGGAATATTGCTGAGTGCGGCGGTAAACAACAAACCAACCAACCAACCAACCTAGCTCAACCCTGGCGCCACCTCGCGTAGATCAAGAGTTGTACTCCGTGTAATGAAAACGGGATATCCAATTAGATCGCTGTTCTTATCTCGTATAGCTTCATAAAGATGGCGACTACAATAGGCGACGACCTAGTCGATCAGATAACGAAAACATTCGCAATTTCATCCCTGACACAAAAACATAGGCAATTGTTTGGGGGGGGGGGGGGGGGGGGGGGTAAGATATTCGTGTCAACTCAGTCTCATTAAAATCAGATCTGAGTTCTTGCTGCCGCTAAACAAAGATCTGAGGACATCCCATAACGGGTCACGTAAGAACGACCTTTCGCGAACTTTGACCGACCACTGAAATGACTAATAAGAAGTCGACACCAGCCAATTAGAAAGCAGCTTTCATGAGCTTTATGGCACTCGTTTCAATCTGGCGACTTCCATTTCAGACTACGCTTGTGAAATATGTTGACACAGTTCTAGATAGAAATTTTGAAAACTGAACAAAAGAACATTCCGAAATGTCTTATGTATGGTTGAAATTGTATGGCAGTGCTTCCCACGCAACGCCTCCTCCGTTCAAATGTTTATCCAACGGAAGCGAGAGATAGACGATAATTTTGACGGAATCAGTCGTACGGACCGTAACTGTCGTTCGGAACACCCCGTATTAACGTTTTCAAGGTTGCATGATTAGACAACACATTCCGACCATCACTTTCATGATCTGGTAAGCGACGTTTTGATTGGTCGTGTGAAAGGTCGTTCTAACGTGACCCGAAATGGGATGTCCTCAGATCTTTGATTAGCAATAGCGAGAACTAAGTTCTGATTTTAATGAAATTGGTGTCAACTATGACCGGGATTGGTAAATACGAATATGTACCAGGCGTGGATGTTGATTTTGTGAAACCTTGTCTGATTGGACTATCGATACATGCGATAACCCAATCATATTAAGCACAGGAAAGTGGGCTTGAAGTGGCAAGGGTGGAAACAAGACTTTGGTAATGAGGCAAGTGGACGCTCTTGCATCGGGAAGATGATGAATGTCATGTGTCGTTTAGGGACTCAATCGAGACGTGAATGGGTGATTGTACTGCGTTTTATTTCATTGCAACGATTGGTTCAACAAATTGAATTAAATGCACCAGATGTATTCGATGCTAGGTGAATATTTTCAAAGTACAAGTATAGTGAAGTGAAGACCTTTTTTCTTGATTTTGCCCTCAACGGGTGCCTTGGTGATTATACTTCTATTCACAAGTTTTCTTAACTGGTAGTAGCTCATTAATGTTTGGGGATTAAAGTGTTGTTTAACAAAACAACATTCTAGCCGTATGACGTTATCATCAGTGTTCTAGTGCCATTGTTAATTGTCCGTGTTGCTTTCAGTGGCTACCATTTGTAAAGAGATACGAACAGAAAGATGGAAGTGTTGTCTACAAACAAGCCAGCATCGAGCTGGCGAACCACCTCGGAAGTGTCCTCAATTTTACGTGCGTTTCCATACTACCTCTCATTTCTAACCAAAATTAAAATTTCATAAACCGTTAAGGGCAGTCGGGAATACTGGTGGTTACAGCGTTAGCTCGTGATGCCGAAGACCCGGGTTCGATTCCCGCATTGGGTACATTGTGTAATCCCATTTCTGGTGTCCCCGCCGTGATATTGCTGGAATATTGCTAAAAGCGGCTTAAAACCAAACTCACTCACTCATAAACCGTTACACTTCAGAGAAATGGGCTTCACACATTAAACCAACGTGTGGAATCAAACCGGGATCTTCGGTATGACGAGCAAACGCTTTAACCACTAGGCTACCCCAGCACTCTGGTTACACTTTAAACTAAGTGACCATCATAATCTCTAAAATTACGATTTCTACCATTATGGGGGCCATAGGCAGCCTAGTGGTTAAAGAGGACCCAATTCGATTCCCTACATGGGTACAATGAGTGAAGCCCTTTTTCTGGTGTCCCCGTTATGATATAAGCCGAATATTGCTAACAGCGACGTGAAACTTTACTGTCTCAATTTTATATTGTTGTTATGTGGTAAGCCAAGGAAAGATGAAAATCAAATAAAATAATGAAGTCGCTAATACCACGTTGTCTTGCAAGTTTTTCCCTCAGTCGAAAGCAGGTCAAATCCTAACGAAAAGCTTGGCGTCTTTCAAAATGTCACTGAAATTTAGGTTCTTTTTAGATACTGAGTGATGTTTACGAAGAATACGTTTAATATCCTATTCGCTTCGTTAGAAACGACTATATGGTGATTGGACGGCCTAGCTGGGTGAATTGGTTGATTGGTTATTTTGTGATCATTGATCATACTTTCGTTCACTGCTTTGTCTGGTCCAGACTGGATTGTTTCCAGGCCGGAGTATTGCTAACTGTGCTGTTGAACAATATAAACTCACTCACCTTTTCAGTAAGATCCGCTAGGGTATTCCCATGGTAGAAGTTGCCATCATTGAGGACTGGTTGGTCAATTTGTGACCTAACTTATAGCCTGTAATCATACCGGTTACCTAACTTATAGCCTGTAATCATACCGGGGTATGATTACAGGCTATAAGTTAGGTCACAAATTGACCAACCAATCCTCAATGATGGCAACTTCTACCATGGGAATACCCTAGCGGATCTTATGTTGCTCATGCTATCAACCACTGGTTTACCCGCACAGAAGTTATATTTGCAAACCGCCGTGATAAAACTTGCAAAAATGCTGACTGTGGCGTTAACAAACTATCATCCACTCAACAAGACCGTTTGTTCTTTTACGCCGCACTCACCAATATTCCAGCTATATGAAGGCGGCTGAAGACCTGACAATCCAGTGATCGATAGTGTGAGAAACGACCCACGCTGTCTGACTAAGTCATTGAGCCTGTCCACCCGATCCATTCGGTCGCCCCTTACGACCATAACAGGTGGGGACCAATTCTAACCCGGAATCCCCACGGGGTCGGTGCGGTCGGGTAGCCTAGTGGTTAAAGCTCGCCACGTCGAAGACCCGAGTTCGATTCCGGACATGGGTACAATGTGTGAAGCCCATTTCTGGTGTCCCCCGCCGTGATATTGCTGGAACATTGCTAAAAGCGGCGTAAAACCATACTCACTCACCCACTCACTCCACGGGGTCACTAAACAACAACGCATTACATATGCAGTTTATCTAGTAGGCTTTGTGTAATTGTTAGGTACTCTGTATCCGAGCCGGCCGACAAAGAATGGGGACTTCCGGTTTCCGGGAATTACACAGGCATGCTCGGCATGTTGCAGAGAGCGGTAAGGATCCTGCAAAGTGATGGCTTTCTCCTCAACACTTGTAATGTTCCATGGTTGTATTGACAGGCTCTTTTGTATGGTTTAGGGCCAGTTGCTTAAGTTGGAAGCTCGTTGTCGATCTTCGTTACAGGATACGATTGTATGATCAGCCTCATGCCATTTAAGGACTTTGTTATAATGCATTGTACAGATCTTTTTCTCAGAATCATTTGTCGCTGGTCGAAATAAATATTAACATATGTTTCCATATTTTGGGAAATAATTGGTCAGTAGGATGAGGGGAAGATTCAATTCTCTATTTCGTAATAAGGGTTTTTTTTAAACATGACCAGATTGTTGACAGACAGTCACCGACTCCAAGAAAAGCTTCACAAACTTATTTCTATAATCAAACGAAATCTCTACTGAAAGCAGAGTCCATTGAACGATTCCGACCATATCTTAAGCACGTGGGGCGGTCGGGTAGCCTAGTGGTTAAAGCGTTCGCTCGTCACGCCGAAGACCAGGGTTCGATTCCCGACATGGGTACAATGTGTGAAGCCCATTTCTGGTGTCCCCCGCCGTGATATTGCTGGAATATTGCTAAAAGCGGCGTAAAACCATACTCACTCACTCACTCACTCTTAAGCACATGTTTATGAATCACTGTCAAATAGTGATGACACTAAGTGTTCGTAAAAAGTTGAGCGTATCCTGCCCCACCGGTAGCACTGGTCACAAACACACGCAAGGGAAAGTCAATTGTTCACCTAAAAAAGACACGGGAACATTGTAAACCAAAATAGAGAAATGCATCATTTATGTCACCCATTGAAATCACTTAAGATCATTTGGCGCTCATTGGAAAAGAACCCGGAAAAACTATGCTAGTATTCTTTATAGGCATATCTTCGCACGTGAATGTGATACTGATTACTTAAAAACAAAATACTGAAATTTTCACGGTTATCGGTATTACTTAATTAAAGAGGCATTGTATATATTAGAGCACACTGGCAGCCTAAAGACATGGGATTTAATCGAAAAATTGTCTCAGAAGATGGTTGACAAAAATATTTATGCTTCAGATTGTTGACAACATAAAAATGTATGTCACCAAAAATAGACTGTTGCAAAATGTTGGGTTTTTTATATTTAGGCTCATAGTTTTAATTTAAGAAATATCTGGATTTGTAGTTGTGGCTGAAAACATGTAGTTTGAGGTTATACTTACCCATAAGAGAAGCCGGACAGAGCGTATTAAGTCTTCAGCAATGCTCCTGGGAATTCAAGCTTTTCTATTAATAACTCGGCTTTTCATTGGACGCAGGTACTTCTTTTCATTCGTTCTTGCATCCACATACTGATATGGAATGAAACGTCGCAAAATTCTGGATCCTTATTCCGACTGAATAGCTGCAACTTAATAAATATTCTATATCCACCCATCATCCAGTCGTGGTTGCATGTCTGGCATCAACTTGTTCATGTTCGAAAACAGTCAAATTGGCTTACTGAGCCGCGTCAACACGTGAGACCCACTTCAACTGACATTCTCGCACTCGCCGATGTTGACTAATCAAATTGTTAACTTGTATTTGTTAAAGCTAACAAATCAAACTTTAACAATAACGCGTTTCTTGAGGTTTGCATGTTTTTATACGTGTAAGTGACACAAATATTCTATATTTGAATGGTGATAGCGAGCTATGTTACACATCCGATGGGTCGTGGAAAGGTCGCTTTTTTACTGTTGCGTAGGGATACATTTGTTTTGAGTCGCTTGAAATTTCGAATTCCAAGATGGTCAGGATGGTATGTCCTGAGACGTTTGCGTAAATTTGATTGTGGGTAAGAAAGCAATAACCAACTCGAAGCTCGGAATTACCGTTTATCTTTCCCTCGGGATTTAATGTCACAGATCCCTTCTTTGAGAGGCATTCAGTAGTCACAGTCCCCTAGGAAAGATAAACCACAATGCCTCGTAGCTCTCAAGTTCTCATAATATACCAACAACACCTTGTGCACATGAAACAGTCAGATTGTACACCTTGTCGGTAAAACTTTATTATTGTCTCTATACAGGAAGTAGATTTTGTTGCGGTTCCGGTGGGTTACACACAAGACCGAGACCTCGTCGCTGACTACCTGCCAGTTATCTTTGAGTCGACCGGCGGAATGTTATTGAGAAACTCGAGGAGCAGTGCCAGGTTGTCAAGTGCCCTGACGGATCCATTCCGCTGGCAGGTGTATGCCGTAGGAGGCGCGGTCTTAATTGGGGTAATCCTGCTCTACCTTGCAATGGAATGGAATAACCCATTCTACACCGATGCCAAATCCATGGAAAAGGGATTAAAACCAGCGGGTTTCCTGGACACCGTGATGTATCTGTTTGGCTCGACCATTCATCAGGGTAGGTTGGATGTGCTCATGGGAGTTAGAGGTTTTGCATGCGGTACTGGAGAGTTAGTGATGGAATTGGGATTAAAACTTTTAAGGTATTTCATTTAGAACACGTCGTGTCAGTTAAAGTAGAAGAAATATGTAGATTACTAAACGAGAAGCCGTTAGATACCGCCGTTGTTATTTCAACGAGCGTATCAGTTGACGTGAGACATTTCTAACGACTGGCCACTTGTCCGAGGGGCGCTACTCTTCAAGTACACGAAGTTCAAGGTCAAAGTAAACCCAGCGATAAGTGTTGTGATGATCTTTCGACATATTTTGCTTATTCGTGATGTTCTGAGCCTTAAAAGTGCCCCGTTGCTTGCACTTCTACAGCATAAAGTGAGAGTCCCACACTCATTTTGTCAATAGTATTGGTTTGCTAGTCCTTCGATAGGCAACTGCAAAACCTCACAGGCTCACATATTGAAGTAAAATATGTCAATAATACATTTTTGAGATTTTTGTGAAAATAGTAGTGTTTGTAGGGAGCAGATGATCCGTCTCTGAGGATGGAAGACGGTGCAGAGTGCAGTTGCACATTGCTCCCGACCCTTTCGAATGGCCAGTTGATGACAACAAATAGTTCCAACCACGCCTGATGTTGTTACGCAATGTGTAATAAAGGTGTCTTGTTAGGAGGTCGTAGCCGTTTACCACTTTGATTATGCTCACATTGACGAGTTTGGCCCTAATAGATCAGCTGAGGCGACCCTGGAAGCTAAACCCCAAACAGCGTACACTGCTACTTCCAAGTGAGTGAGTAAGTTGCGTTTGACGCCGCTTTGAACAGTATTTGTCAGCATAATGTGGGATAATATAACAAAAGCCCGAAGTGATGCAGGTCTCTGGCGGTTACCACTTTGGTAAAACCTACGAGCAGGGTATGGTGCTGTAAAAACTAGAAACAAAATCGGGGCGAAGCGGATTTCGAACCCACAATCATAGGTTTCTTGCGTGTGCAAGGGACGCAACTCTGGACACCGGGCCACTCGTGTCCCCGCTTACATCCAAGAGACACAGCTACTCACAGTCGTTTTGCATGACACGGGAGAGGGTCACATGATGAATTTAATCTCCAGTTTCAAGCGGTGTTAAACCTAACTTACTAACTCGCTCATGGCAAAACCCCATATATAATATAATTTAAGGCAATGGGGATTACTCAACTGAATAGGTATCACTGATATGATCACATCCTCAGCAATGTGAAGGATGGAATCGGTCTGGTATTAGTTTCCATGATCGCCAGTGAATCATCCTTGGTTATATTTGAATGTCGTTTCTTAGTTAAATGGTGCGAACGGGTGGTCCAGTCGTCTAAGGCGTCGCAATGCATTGTGCATAGTTGCGTCCCTTGGGCACGCTAAAAACCCATGGTCGCGGGTTCGAATCCCGGTTCGCCCTGATTATGTTTCTAGGTTTGTCAGCATCATACCCGTGCTCGTCGGTTTCACCGAAGTGGTAAACGTCTGAGACCTGCATCACTTTAGGCTCTCCTCCCACATCAAGCTGACACGCCGCGATGTAACTGGAATACTTTTAAAACCGGCGTTTTACCAAACTCTCTCACCACGTCAAGCTGACACGCAATGATATAACTGGAATACTGTTAAACCCAAATCACTCACTCACTCACTCTCAATTCTTGGTTAAATGAAACTGTAATACGTATATAACTGAGAAATGCATGATATTTCAATCCTTCAGGTGGCGTCCATCTTCCGGAGTCGAGTTCCGGCCGGATGCTTATTAGTTTCTGGTGGTTGTTCATTATTGTGATGACTGCAGCCTACAGCGGCAACCTCATTGCTTCTCTCACCGTCACCAAAGAATCATTTCCATTTACTACCTTAGAAGACTTGCTTGCAGATGAGGACCTTAGAGTTGGTTTGGCCGAAGGAACAGTCCTTCAAAGAGTTATGATGGTAAGCACAATCATATTGTAACTGAAGAACCGATAACGTCAATTACTGGATTGTCTGGCCCGGTCTCGATTATTTACAGACTGCCGTCATATAACTGGAATATTGCTGAGTGTGGCAAACAAACTGAAGAACCAATGGTTCAAGTTCGACGCTGTGGAACCAAAGGGTATTATACGATGTGTGTTCTTTATTAGGTAGCCGTAATGTGAAATATGGTGTGCCATTACGTGTAGTATCAAGGGGAGCAAACCGAAGATGTCATTGAATAAAAAAAGACCCGTGAAGATCCGGTGTAGAATAGATCTATTCTACCTCGGATCTTCACGGGTACGAATGCTCCTAATGAACTGCTCTGGTATTGATATAACATCAACCCATAAAAGTTTTGGAAATATTCTTTTTCTGTTACAATTTTTTCTATGAAAAAATATAACTATTGTGCCATTAATCGAGTCGTATATACTGTCACTGACATGTGTCTTCACAGATGTCTAACGACAGTAAGATCAGACGGTTATGGGAAAAGATCGAGGCCTCCCGAGGCATGGACAGCAACACATTTAATAAAAACGTCACCGTCCAAAGGAAAAAGGTTCTGAATGAGAATTATGCCTTTATCAGTGACATTATCGAATTAGAAGTGATCACCAGAAGTTTTTGTGACTTGTATATCCTTGAGGAAACCTTCCAACCTGGACAATACAGCCTTGTATTGCAACAAGATTCACCACTGAAAGATATGTTTTCTAAAGAGTAAGTAACGTGTTTGAATGTCGATATTTTCGATGATAATAGAGAAAACAAAGATAAATATGTAGTTAGTCGAAAAATGTCTGGCAGAAGAAAGTATACACTTGAAAACTGGATTTGACCAAACAAGTACAAAACGTTACAAGGCTGAAAACTGTCGCCGAAACACTGCAAATGTAAGGTCCAAAACACATTATACCTCTTTTTTATCACAAACATCACCATCGAATGACAATTTCTTTCATTTTAAGCAACATGGGAGTATACTTTCTTTTGTTAGGCAGTTTATATTCAATTGTTCTAAAACAGCTGAGATACCTTAGATTGTTCCAGTAGTGCAGTAGTCAGAAACGTTGTTATGATTTAGTTTCATTATATTTTGATAAAACAAACTAGTGGTCATTTTCTTGGTGAATGAATGCACCTTATACTAACCGTCATTAACATTTAACAAAGCATTACCCATGAATTAAATACCTTGGTATCTGGAATTCGTCATTTCAGGATGACTGTGCGAAAAGGTGGCTCTTTTAAAGTTGAACATGAGCGCAGAATTAAACAATAAAACAATCTGTCAATTCTTCCGACACTGATATTCAATATATTGTGTCCTAAAAGTCAAGTTGCTTCTAAAATGCGGAATTATCCTGGTGCATCAACACCGAAATATCATAAAAACTGTACTTCATACTAACACCGATAATGAAAACATTGTGTTATTATAATCAAGGTGTTTCTAAACTGCGGAATTATCCTGGTGCATCAACACCAAAATATAAAATATTATAAAATCTGTACTTCATACTGACACCGATAATGAAAACATGGTGTTATTATTAATATAATCAAGGTGTTTCTAACATGCAGAATCAGACTGGTGGAGGAGATTGGCTTGATGCAGTACTGGTTAAGGAAGTGGAACCCGAGGCACAACGATAGTGCATGTTCTTCTACGGAGGCTGGGGCCAAACCTATAGGCCTGGAGAAGCTGGTGTCAGTGTCACTCGCTCTCCTGGCGGGGATACTGTGTTCGGGACTGTGCCTTCTCATTGAGCTGGTCGTCAAGGCTTCAGCAACGCTCATGTGAAACACACAGAACCAGGGGCGCCTGGTTTCACCAAGCCATGGTTAGATCGCATGCTGACCACGCACACTGAGGCGTAGTATCATTGTGAATCACTTTGCATGTGCTGCGTATTTGCTGTGGTCCCGCTGCTAGACGTTGCTCAAACTTACGGAAACGCTCCTCTACTGTAGCACATCGACGTAAAACTGAATCTCCGAAGTTGACAACGTCACGCTGTTGTTTCTGTTGTTCGAGATGATTCTGAGCCATGAATTCACTAAACGTGGATTCGACAAACTGGTAAACCTGACACAACCACAGGTCATTATGCCAAATTAACCATAACATGTATTAAGTCGGAGAAATCATTCGAATCTCATGATTTAGGAAGTAGAATCAACTCGCCAATTCGGGGTTGGTTAATTTTAATTCTTGAATCAACAGGTTATCATGAATACTCCATTACCTTATCACCGCTGTTGTTCCTGCTTCGCGTTGCTCGTGTTTTGACGACAGAGGAGCCCGGTCGCCCAGCTTTCGTAGCATTGGAGATACAACCATAAATTGCAATGATATTATCGAGATTATTTTCACATGAACAATATTTTTCTTATTCGCCTTTTCTCCCCTCTGTTGCTAACACAGACACCATGGGATTATTTGAAATCTCTTCCCAAGTCATTTCTGAATGTATAAGACTGTATTACTTATCTTTATGAGGAATGGCGCAATGGCAAGGAATGTCAATATTAAGGACTCAAATGTTTTATCGTTGGAAAGTCTTTTCTAAATATATAAAACTGTATTATTTATGACAACACTGAGAGGACAACTCTCGGGCCGCCGCTATGACACACACAAAAACAAATTCATTCTTGTCACAACATAGGGTCGCCAATGATAGATGTAAACCATCACCGGTGGATAAAGGCGATGCAAGAATGTGGCGTCATCAGTCCTTTGATCCTGATCCGGAATTGTTCTAGTTCTATTGACTATGGGTGAGAAGTGTACCTTATCGCTTCCTTGCGTTCTTTTAAGTTCCTTCAAGGCATTCCCTGCCACGATTGAAACCGGCTGCCAACCTGTATGGTGTCATAGGAATGGGGCATCCTTACCTAGCGTCGTATCTCATATCTTTATGGATGGCTTTTGATGTTATGCCCTTTTTAGCAAACACCGGATCATTTCATGTTCCTTAATTTATTAAAGTTCACAGTCCCGTGCATATTTTACTGACTTGTCACAGCGTAAGACTTTGCTCAACTGACTCAAGTGTTTGTGGATATACTTCTATGACATCATGTAATGCCAACAATGCCACCGTTATGCAATTCCTTCTATATGAGTCTCAGGACTTTTCAATCAAACCTCATACTTTCACTACCCCGTAAACAAAACGTCTCATTGGTAATGACATTTTCCATACTTTTTGGTCAGGTCGTTTTCGAGTGATGCGTATTGATGACTTTTATGGTGTTATCTACATTTTGAGTGAAGAATATGAGTGTTATAGCTGCGTGTTGTTAAATATTGGATAACATTGTTAAGAATAGAAGTCTACAGGTACCCATTTCAATGTTACAAAATGCTAAAGCTATAAGATGATGAAGGGAAAACGAATTGGATCTCTGGTGTAAGAAGAGAAGACAAAAGATACTGGTAATGAAAACATATTTTTAAATACATTTAAACAAAGACTATAAGATATATTTCACCAACAAATTTATTCTTCCCATTTTCTCAAGCATTATGCTTATATCAGATCATAGTTACAACCAGAAAAATATATCTCTATTGAGCGCTCTTTGTAAATTTATAATATCTCTCCATAATTTCCATGTCAATAAATGTCGTAGAACCAAGAATGTTGATTGTATTGTATATGTACTAACTGTACCAGCCAGGAGATTAAAGTTTTAATTTTTTTTATCCCCTGCCACGAAGTGGAAGGGAGGTATAGGAATCGGCACTGTCCGCCCGTCCTTCCGTACATCACGTTTCATTTCTAGAGCAGAACTAAAAAATCATGAGATATCTTAACCAAACTGTGCCCCTTTAATAGGGCTAGTAGCGGTGAAATGGTGCCTTCGGATAGTTTGGGATTTTTGAAAAATTTACTTTTTGATTTAATTTCCATGTCAACGACAACGGTAGTGCCCGTTTCCGGCGTAGATCTTGAAAACCGCACAGTATTTCTTCACCAAACTTGACACATAGATAGGTCTGGTAGTAAACTGGTGCCTTTTGATAGTTTGGGATTTTAAAAACAAATATTTTTCGAGTTTCCATACTACTGAAAATGGCGGTAGTGCTCGTTTCCGGAGAGCTTATGCCATGCACACATCCGAGCCGGCATTGGCTGGTGATATGAGTATTTCATGATTACTTTATTTGTGAAAATATAAAACTTTAAGATCAAAGTTTCTATCTAATGTAAATATTACAAAGACAGTCAATGATAAATTTGTTGAATTAAAAAAATTAAGATGTTATCTAATTGTTAGCCATGTGTTTAAAACATGGTGAATATATATTATGCTTTGTTCAAGATCACGTTGATGTTGTTGATTACTTGTTAAAATTACACTTCACTATGGGCTATGTTGCCTAACATACTGAATAAACTGTCTGTCTGTCATCTAGTTATGTCCTTGTGATATGTATGGTAGTATTATACATTTTTCAAGTAATTTCAATGGTTGTCAACAATGTTTCAAGTAATGCGATTTTGTATTATCAATTCTTTTGAATAATACGTATTTGTGTCAACTAAGTGTGTGTGTGAGTGTGCCTGTGTTGCCTGTGTGTGTGTGAGAGAGAGAGAGAGAGAGAGAGAGCTAAGAATATATATTCACTTTCATAAGTGTTGTACCTAACATTTTGCTTCTATCGGCCTTCGTATCACCATTAGCATCTGCCATTGTGGGTTGGCACCAGCAAGGTCTGTTTCATGCAGTCATACAACCGAATCTGCCTCTATACAGTCCTCAACCCCCAGATTCTCCATGCATTAGCCTAACAGTCCTCTAATTAGACAGTCTTGTGGACATAGACGTGGCCATGGCCGTAACCTAGCCATTGTTTAAGATGAAAGGAATATGTTAAAATTTCGGCCAAAGTATACAGGTTGATATTTGTTTTCGGACGTCAAATTACCGGGGATTTTCTTTTATCATCGTCTTTCAGTGTCGTTGGGATATTTTTATTGCATGTAAAGGAACGCCTTTATCGTCTTGCTTGTTAAATACTCACGACCATCCTCCACGTGTAGAAAACGTATCAGACATAAAGCTCATGAAGAGCACACTGTACAGCGTCTACCCCACGCGTGTTGTCATCTAGCCTCTGTGGTGACTCCTTTTGACACTGAGCTTTGGATGTATCAAAACAAAGTGAGATAGATGGCATTCGCCACAAAATGAACAGATTAGTTTGAAAATTAGAGATCCTCGAAATATAACGCCAAAGATAGAAACCAATATGTCTTTAAGTGTGAATGAAGATAACACAAGCAGAATGGGAGGATATGGGCGTAGCTTTATTACAAAGTTGCTGCGGAAGTCACGTCGGGTTCAATGCTGAACACCGACCTTACATGATTGGCAGTTCAATACTACAAGAGCTACAAATGCTATTTCTTGCATCCGAGGGTTGTGCACATCGTGATGCAATAAAACATACACATGACCAAATGGGCTGGAAATACAAACTAGCACACACACACTCACTCACACACACACACACACACACACACACACACACACACCCTCCGTGGTTACACGTGAGGGGTCCGTTATGTACGAAGCTTGTAGCTACTTTTCCTCCATGGATAATGGCACACACCGTGCGGTCCAAATAGTCATGTATTGTTTGTCTCACGCATTTGATAGTCCATGACCTCCGCCACTGGATATGCTCTATGGCAAGTTCATCCCATCCACTAAATGCACACAGTTCAATTCTGGAACATTAGTATGCCAGGCCTGAAAACAAACCTCTCTAATACCCCTTGCAATGAGTATATCATTCCCTATGTCTGAAAGATGAACACAGTCACAGTCATCTCTGAAAGGACCTGACACATTGATTTCTGAATGTCCAACCGCACGGCCTCCAACGTTCAAATCTCTTTAATTGGCGAACCTGTTGAATCTCTTTTGTTTCTCTTCCGACGTTCTTCCATCTCACATTCCTCTCCATGTAATGAATTGCAGGATGTCCGACCATATGATGATAGCAGCTGGCATCATTGCTTTAAGTTAAAGCAGGTCATGTTTAACCAAATCCAATATTGCTGAGTTGAAGTATCTATCTAATCATTTGAACCTAAATTGATAAGGATATAAAAGCTGCAACTAAAGTAACACGATATTGGAATATGTTATTCCTACTAAAACAATAATTTCAGATACAATTTCTTCCGACTATTGCATCATAATTCTTTGAAGTTGTATCATTGGGTGCTTTTTAACTGAATCACCGGAAGATTGGGAGAAAACGTGTGTTCAGCCAATAGTTCTACGAGAAAATACACACAGTAATCTTAATCTCTGCATATAAAACAATGCCTTGGAGAGCAGGAAATACAATTAAAATGGTAAATCATCGTGTCTAGTGATGTTTTATATCAAATTTCATATTTTTATTGACCAAGTTTGTTATACCTGTTCGTTCACCTGAATTCGCTGAAGGGATACGATGTGGGTTTTTTTAAAGCGTATGACACTCGAAAAATCTTTTTGGACACTATGAATCATAAACAACTACTATTCTAATCATTCTTCAAACTCTGAAACGTACATTGTAGATCGTGTTAGGTCGGTAGAGCATGTACTGTTGTGTTGGTCATCTTACCCCCTCAGTCGTACGGTCCGTAACTGTCGTTCGGAATACCGCGTTTTTACCGACGTTGTGACGTGACCCGTAATGGGATGTCCTCAGATCTTTGTTTAGCGATAGCGAGAACTAGGATCTGATTTTATTGAGATTGCCTCTGTAAAGATTCAACAACAGAAGACATCGTCAGTGCCCAGAGGGAATCACTAACAATGTTGACATTTTTATGTTTCTCAGCCCGAAGTTGAACTATTCAGGCCGTGAAGCACATTGCTTATTTTCTGGTTTTTTTCTACTGTGTTGAAATGTGAAGGAAAGTTAGAGGAAGTGTAAGTTTAACAACTCCAGTTGTCATGTTATTATAAAAGAATGTTGACTGTTCCAAAATTATGAAAGGTCATATCTTGATATGCTTGAGTCTTGATACTTAATAAAAGTTAGAGTACAGGAGTACTGTGATCTGAGGTTTTTTGTATGGTTGCGTATCGAGATACGTATCTTATCGTGACCAGAATATCGAGATACGTATCGTATCCTTCCTGTATCGTTGCAGCCCTAGCACAGGCAATGTGCTAACTTTATCGACTGGTAAATCAATAAGTACACCAGACGAAGGAATGGGAATTATATCACCCGTTGTGTTTTGGTGCCATGATGTCTGTCAGTCTTCCTGGCTGGCTCGTCTGCACTGTAGGCGGTGTTGGCTTGGTTGACGAAGGTCTGGCCGCTTGAAGGGATCTTGATCCACCATCCACCAGTTGGCGTTCCCCGCGCCTTTCTCTTCCGTCCCTCTCCTCGTCCTGACGTCCTGACATCGGTGTGAAAAGGCGGAGGGTCACAGCCCACAGCCTAACCTGGCCATGTGAGCCTAAAGGGGTACAGCGATTGGTTGAATACTTAGTTAAATGAGATGGGATATGTGGTCAAGGGGAGGTAACTCAGTATTTAGGTGGTAGAGCTCCTATCCTCCCACTTTATCACATTTGTTTCAGACATTTGTTACACAAATAAGATAATAAGGATTTCACGTCAGACATACATGTACATTCATTTTTCAGCAATTCAGCAGTTGAAATAACTGACGTATAAATTCATTTCAACAACATGTGATCATTTAAATTTTATTTATGAGTGCCATGTCTGAAAAGAATGAGGAAGTAAGTTAGGTTTTATGTCGCCCTTTCCAGAAACGAATAAAACGAGGTCAACCTTGTATGACACACGTGTGACGTACAGAGTACCTAACCACCTGTCTCTTCACCCCGTGTGTAATTATTATAGAAAGTGATACCTTCCAGGAGATATCGCTATAATGAAATTGGTTAAAGCCCCACCCTGACTATAAATAGCCCGCAAGGTGGCGGTGTTTCAGTTTCGAACAATGACTGACAATGTAAACACAACCGAGTGTCGGGAGAGGTTTTTTGAAAACCATACGGAAACCAGATCACCATTGACCGTCAAACTTCGTATCAACTTGTATGACAAACCATGGATACAATAAATGGCTCCATATCAAGATATAAGTCAATAAATTTTCTGTAGTTTTATCATAAAAAATCGAATCGATCGTGTTTGGCGTCTGCATCAATCACAGTGGGCGGAGCTTATTTACGGTTGCGCTATAAATAGCAAAGCACATGGCCAAATGTACATGTGACACATTCAATGCATTTGTGGTCAAAGTGAATTGTGTTGCATATTTTTTACGGCAGAACAGCAGCAGAACATCAGTTTCGGTTAATGTAACAGTAACGATACTTAAATACGAAATTGACGACGCGATTCTTTCAGTTCAATCCGAAAATTACAGATATTTGTTTAGTTTTGGTCATTTGCATTCAACAGTTAGATTTGTGCCACACAATAATCAGTTTATATTCATAAAACTTAAATTATTACACAGATTTTCAACTAGTGTTTAGGAAGGGGCCTAATTTGAAGCACCAGAAGTTCCGCCAATATTTCTCAGCTTGACTACAATAGATGAATATGTCACGTGTATCAACATAACAATGCACATAAGCAACTGGTAAATAAGTAACGAAATATACTTGATGTTTTGACCTACAGAAGGCGTATCCAGATAATATTGTACTTACGATAAACGAAAACTCCAATACATATATTCCAAGACAACTTTAATTATGAATTTCCTTTTCTTTCACAGAATTTTCACACACAAAACTGAGTTTGATCATTAGATCCACACTTGTCCCATGTATGTTTGTTCGGGGTATTTGGATATACTTCGCGCACAAGTTTTGAAATACAATCTGGGATCCCTTTCCCGTTTTGTCCACACAAATCCTTCATCTGCTGCAACGTTTAATTACGTTTCTTCAAGTCGAAGTATCTACGATCTCTCCAAACACTTCGTTTATTTAGCTCAGTCCAGAAGCAATGTGTTCAAATCGACGAATTTCTGCAACATGGTGGCCGCACCATTCCCCAACTGCGATTGCCTGTGCCGTGTCACCCATGGTTGACAAAAGAAGTGTGAACATACATATTCGGCTTCATCTGGTTCCACAATGAAATCTCGCTGTCACATTCATTCACTAATCCCAAGAATCGGCACTGAATTTATCAAAGTTTCTGTTGCACTTGCAAGGGCGGGAAGAGAGGCGCCATCTTGTCGATTCGAGTTGTGAATCGGAATCATGTCATCTTGAATTGGAACTTTCTCCACGATAAAGTCACCAATGTCATAATCGAAATGACCAAAGGCTCCCTGATTATCTCGAACAACTCTTCGTCAAATTAGGCTTCACATGAAAATGTTTTGTTGCTCATATTGAAGACAAGCGAAATTGCAAAGTTCTTGACAGTTGTAAGCAGCAACTCGATGCCCTCTTGGGGCGTGGTTGCTAGGAGATCGCGTGGTCAGAAAGGGGAAAACAACTTTTTTTAGAAAGTAATAAAAGAAATACGCAGTGCAATCCAAAGGTACCATGTACAGGATATTTTTTAATAATAATATTCACGAAAAAAAATCTTTTCTAAAAATGCAAATTAATTTATTAATTTATCCCAAGGTCGTAACCCTGATCACGTGGTGGGTATTTGGAATTTTTGCGATGACGCCGTGTATTACATTGTTGAATTCAACTGCCCAGGAAGATTGTTGAGGCATTGACATTTTGACAGATGTTCGTCTTGAATGGAGAGAAAAATGTATCTGAGAGAAACATTGTTGCTTTGAGCTTCGAGACAAAACATGTGTTAATGCCGAAGTAGCCAGCGACCTGAATGTAAGCTTGATGAAAATAATGTTGAAACCCATTTTCACATGACAGAATTAATGTGAACTAATATTTATCTGAACATCGTTTCGAAGTCTGTGAGGCTGTCCGTATTTTATTATTTATATCTCCATTCCGACGTGAAATAATGTCTTCGTGTCTCAATTTTGCTGCCGCTGTGGAAAATTGCGCACCGATCTAATAAAAGAAATACTACTAGATCTACCATTGCATCGTCATAAAAGAACCAGGTCAACTTTATCTTTGTTCCGTTGTTTATTAAAAATTCGTTTTCGAAGCAAAGCGAATCGATCTACATCATAAATTAATTCATAGACTAGATTCTAGTACCAAGTGTTAAACCCTTTTTTAAATGTCATAAAACAACTTACACAATTATTGAAAGAGATTTTTTTATAAGTAATATATTTTATTCCGTCCGCCCGCTCCCTGGTTAGTTCAGGCTTGAGGGGAGAAACACATACAAACAATATGGATGGCCTTATGCAAATGACACTTGGCATGCCAATCAACAGGGATGTGGGTCACTGGGACCCGCCAAGTTTCACGGATCGAGTTACTTCAGGATAAGGGCTTCATCGGACAAGTCTTTGCCAAAATACATTGGTAGATCTACTTGGCAATGAAAAAATGTCACGGAAACGACAAAAAACTACTTTGATCACTTGAAAATATGTTTGACCATTATATTACCAGGGTTTTTCTACAGGATCGTTGTCATCCAGATTCCAGATGAGGCAAGACGAACACAACGAAGAAAAACATTGTTGAAATCACCGATTGCTGTATATATTGTGAGAAATGCTATTTATAAACTGCAGATATACCGTACATCACAGGATAACGATTGGTGCCCCAACACATATTATGTTTCTTGTTCATTTACACTGCTCATATGCATCACGACAAACGTATTTCGTTCTCGTCCAGAGATGTAGAAATATAATTTGTGTGTTGGACTGTGTTGGATAAATCGTGGACATTCCACTGTATCATTTTATGAAGATGTGAAGACGACATGGCAGGTAGGTTTTGAAACCAAAGACGTACGCGTTTGTTGAAAAGTCTTGGAATCGTTTGGAAGATATTTATATTACCATTAAAACTTAGGTCCTTGTTGTCAAACGACCCACGTGGGTGGGTGTTTACATGACGTCACCCGTTTACGCATTAACCAATGAAATGTATGTGTTATCATGACGTCATATTGACCTGTCAGATCACTTGTATAAGCTCCGCCCACTAGAGTGCGGTAGTTACTACCGCAGATGGGGCTTTAACGATCGATGCTTTACAGGCCACAGTGATGTCATCGGTTACCATGACGTCACAATCAAATGGCGTCCCTATTCATTTATTTCTGCCACTGAATCAAGTTAGCTGTACTTTTTACGCCCAAATACCGATTATTACTGTTTACAAACTACAAATGTTGGAAGATTTATTTTGGATGATAAAAAGAATCCAGATCCTTTTGGCTTCAACAATGGCGGGGGTATCGGTCATGGCCACGTCTATGTCCACAAGACTGTCTAATTAGAGGACTGTTCGGCTAATGCATGGAGAATCTGGGGGTTGAGGACTGTATAGAGGCAGATTCAGTTGTACGACTGCATGAAACAGACCTTGCTGGTGCCAACCCAAACCGATGGAAAATATTACCAACTTTTAAAAGCGTGTGTACTTCAGAAAGTACTTCAAAATGTCCAGTGATGTCTCCTTATGCTAATCAGAAGTAGATCACAAGTAGTCGAAACAATGATAACAACGTCATGATAGTGGGTGATAAATATTTCCAACCGCATCAGCTGATGCTGTTATTGCGTGTGCTGTCTGGCCATGATAGTGTCATGGTCTTAGGAAGGACTTTATCTTTTAAGATAAATGTAATTCTCCAATGCGATACATATGCGACTCTGAACCTCCTAAAACGACTGAGGCTGATTATGAATAAATGTTATTATCCATATGAAACCTCATTCTGTCTAAACTATTGGTGTAAATTCAAGACATTACTGCAACCTAAACCATGATGAAGAGTATAACTGATTATAGATGCTATTGTTAAGTGCCGAGTCAATACTATGATCACTAACTGTTTGTCTGGGGACCTGTGAAGATCTGGGTTAGAATAGGTCTTCAGCAACCCGTGCCCGTTTTGGCAACACAGCAGTAGCTTTCTTGTATAGCCATCAATATCAACTCTAGATATCAACTCCCAATATGTCCACAACCTCAGTCTCCATCTGGAATCCCCCATCCAGCTGTATCACACGTGAACCTCCTTGATATGTTTTGAAAAAGCATCATCCTTTCTGTATTATCTAATTATCCGATAACAGAGGTAGCTGAATTCTTATGTCGGGCCAAAAGAAAGTATACACTTAAAAATTGGATTTGTTCAAAGATTACAAACGTTAACAAAACGTTAATAGGCTGAAAACAGTCGCCGAAATACTGCACACTTAAAGTCCAAAAGAACTGCGGTACCCGTATCAAATAAATCGCCATTGAATAACTATGTTTTGTTTGTTCCATTGATAGCCACCATGAGTGTATATTTCCTTTTGCCCGGCAGTATTCGGTCAGTTAGAATTGACCAATGCTAACGCGATGTTTCGAGCTCATTTCATTTGACACAATACTGAATGAGAAAAGAGACATTTGCTTTGTCTCCACCATCACATGTTGTCATTGATCGTTTTTGATCGTGTACTGTATTATGTAGGAAGTACATTCTGAAAAGGGGCGGTCGGGTAGCCTAGTGGTTAAAGCGTTCGCTCGTCACGCGAAAGACCCGGGTTCGATTCCCGACATGGGTACAATATGTGAAGCCCATTTCTGGTGTCCCCCGCCGTGATATTAATGAAATAATGCTAAAAGCGGCGTAAAATCAAACTCACTCACTCACATTCTGAAAAAATAATTTGCAAACAAAAATGTTCTTCATAACGCTATTGGGGTCACATATTCGTACCCACCATGTTCAAAACCAACACGTGTTCCCATTGGCCCGTCCCGTTTCGTTTTCAGACGATAGAACATGTCACACAAACACAGTCAGCCATAGAAAGTCCGGTGTCACATATTTCTTCCCATGCCCAAACAAACACGTATTCCCATTGGCCCGTCCCGTTTCGTTTTCAGACGATAGAACATGTCACACAAACACAGCCAGCCATAGAAAGTCCGGTGTCACATATTCCTTCCCATGCCCAAACAAACACGTGTTCCCATTTGCCCGTCCCGTTTCGTTTTCAGACGATAGAACATGTCACACAAACACAGCCAGCCATAGAAAGTCCGGTGTCACATATTCCTTCCCATGCCCAAACAACCACGTGTTCCCATTGGCCCGTCCCGTTTCGTTTTCAGACGATAGAACATGTCACACAAACACAGCCAGCCATAGAAAGTCCGGGGTCACATATTCCTTCCCACCATGTCCAAACCAACACGTGTTCCCATTGGCCCGTCCCGGAATCAGACCGAAGTCTGAGTTGGCGACAGCGGCGTAGTGGACGGCAGCATCATACCCCTGCCTCCCCAGCACGACGGCTCTCCTGGGTGGCCCGACTCCACGGTTCCGAACAGGCACGATCCGACCCTCCGGCGCCGACAGCCAAGAGAAGTCACTGGTCCTATGTTCCCGACCATTGAGCGAGAACCAGCAGTGTCCCGATCTGTTGGCCTTCCCCCCGACTGCTCCATGTTGAGTGTGGGCCACCACTGTCCACATTTTACCCCCTCCGTCATTTTGACAACCGAAGCAGACGCCATCTACCGGTGGGCGCCCGGTCACGTTGGGCGTGTAAGTGTAACCGCTCATGCCTGGGGGACTTCCTAATTCTGAAAGAGAGTGAGTGAGTTGGGTTTTATGTCACTTTGAACAGTATTTCAGTTTAATCTGTGCGTCAGTTTAATGTCAGATGAGACATAGGTCACAGGCGTTAACAACGTGAAGGGGACACGGGTGGCCCTGTCGTCTAAGGGGCCGCAAAGCTATGATTGTGGGTTCGAATCCTGGTTCGCCCCGATTATGTTTCAAGGTTTGTCAGCTCCATACCCGTGCTCGTGGGTTTCTAAATCCCGAATCACTTCGGGCTTCCATCCCACATCAAGTTAGTGAGTATGGGACACCAGAAATGGGCTTTATACATTGTGCCCATGTCGGGGTTCGAATCCGGGTCTTCGGCGTGACAAGCGAACGCTTTAACCACTAGGCTATCCGACATCAAGCTGACACGTCGTGATATAACTGGAATACTGTTCAAATCGGCGTTTATCCCAAATCACTCCCTTGCTACAAAGTTAAACCCAAGAGAACGGGTATGATAATGACAGACCAATTATCACAATCGGTGCGAATCTGGGATTCGAACCCACAACCATCGATCCTGATACCTAAGGGATGCAACTCTACACAGCGATAGTGCACAGCCATCGTTCTGAAAGTGTTGAGGACAATTATGACGACGTTAAGACACATGGGATGGATGTTTAAGATATAAATGGTTTCAGCGTATATTCAGGTACACACCAGATTTATTTGTGAAGTGACATGGGGAGATCACAAACAGGAATGAGGCTAAATAAAATCACGTGCCATCTATAAACAGGCACTTTTTTATCTGTATGCGCATTCATACATTGATATTACTCTACTAATTCCATTCTACCGCCTCCTTGGTCTGATGGATGAGCGTCTGCCCGGAGAGCCGAAAGTCGGTGGTTCGATCCCCGGCCGCGTCATACCAAAAGACGTTAACAGATGGTACTTGTTGACACCCTAACTGGCGCCCGGTATTAACATTCAGTATACTGTGTCGGGGTATCCATGTTAAAATGCGGCATGGTATCTCAATGGGCTCGCACTATAAAACGGGCATAAGTCTCAGACTAGTAATCAGTCTAGAACAATCCTTAATTTCAGGAGCTAGAGGCAATCTAGACTTGAGTAAGACTCCTTTATTAATTTATAGTCTAGTAACTGGGAGACAGACTAGCAATAATCTTGAACACGACATTAAATCCCATTTCACATCACCTCATTAATTCCATTCATTATTAGTTTACTGGTGAAGTTTGGGGTATGTGGCTGTAACATAATTACACATCCTATGATGCAATATAGTTGTTCAAATGTTCATCTGCTGGCACATGCACAAAAGAATATGATGTAATTCGTTCAATACATTTACAAGAGTAACCTCTTTCTGTCCCTATAGGTCGTTCCTGGGAACGAATTGAGTTGTCTTACTTCAACATGTCTTCCAGTTTTGATTATGGATTAAATTTATTTAGATAATGTTATTATGAGCATCATCATTTTCCTCATTTTCTCTTTTAAAGATGATTATGTCGAATTTCAGTGTCTGCTTTGCCCAATTTAACTGGTAACCTGACCTTTAGATTACACACAAATAATCAAATAGATATCGTTATGATATACAGCAAAGGATGTATTTTAGGTTATGTATAAGAAATAATAAACATTACTCACATGTGAGACTAATTCTGCTCATCTAACCTGCATAAATGTCATTCTCAACCTTTACTTGGCATAATCAGATATCAGATTTTTGTATATCATAGATAAATATCCTTATCGAAAATGGAGTAGAATGTTTTCTACTAACCATTCATCTTCCCGAGGCAAGAGAGTTAACTTACTTTTAAAGTCTAGTTTCCACCCTTGCCGAGCAAGGCTGGAATTCCTGGGCTCGATCGTAGCACCACCAGTGGCTATTACCAGTTATGTCCCTTCTAAGCCTCTCCTATGGACCAATGAGATTCCAACTCTCGTATCACTTGCATTTGCTTCAAACAAAATGGAGGCGCCCAGACAAGACGATCTGATCGATAATCAAGATCTATATTGTGATAATAGGGGTGTTTCATCGCGAAGTGCATCAAATCACGTGAGCACCTTGATTAAAAACATTAAAAGATTTGGAAAACATCTGTTGACAACGAGTTGGCGGTGCACATGCTTTCCAAATCTTGCAATCGACCGAAATCTGCACGGCAGTTTACGAACCGGATTTCGATTTCATTCCGCGATTTTGATTAGACTATGCATAGACTCGGTAGTCCAGCCAAAATGTAACTCCATAATACCAGCCTAGTTCAGCAAGGGTGGAAACTTGACTTTTATAGTCAGTTAACCCTCTTGCTTCGGGAAGATGCTAACCTTTATGTTGTTTCAAGTTGTTGTCAGGCATTCATGCCATACGGCCAGCACACGGGACAGCAGGTAAACCCGTAACTTTTGACTTGCTTCAAAATAGCATAACAAACCTGACGTGTGTGTGTCTCTTTATACGAGGCTTCATTCAAAGCAGTCTATTGCAAGCCTTTTAGGACTATTCAGAGTGAATTATTTGGGCGGTGTGTCAAGGGGCTGCTCGTGGCCTGTTGGTATCTACAAGGTAGCGGCGGGTGTATGCATGCATGGTCGCCCAGACAATCATAGTCCCGGGTCCGAATACCTTGTGGCGGGGTTCTATACCTGGTATTATCTTAACACTGGAAACGTTTTATCCCCTTATATTACGAATCCACATAAGACGACGATCTGCTGAAACACATTATACCGACACATCAACGGACACACAGCGCATGTGAATCTGCTGAAACACATTTTACCAACAAATCAACGGACACACAACGAATCAACTGAAACACATTTTACCAACACATCAACGGACACACAACGAATCTGCTGAAACATGTTATACCAACACATCAACGGACACACAGCGCATGCGTCGACATCCAAACGTCGAAATGATACAATCGTTTTTACTAATAACAGCAAACAAACAAAACTAGAAATGAACCACAGTACCTCCCTCGTACCCTCCATGCAGTGGTGCGTTTGTGGGGCCTCTGTGCGCCAGGCTGACCTCTTTACTGGTTGAATACGCCGATCGTGTGGTATCCAGTCAATACACTATAACAACGGCTGACAGTTATTGGTTATTAATGCCAGCTTTCTTTATGTGTAACATTACAACAAACAAACGCCAGTCATACACTGGCTCTGCCTTCACGTACATCAATAGGTGAAAGACATGCCAAGAACTAGGATACTCCTAACACGTAATAGAAGGGTCTACACGCGTCCAGGAGACGTTCTAACGACACCTGCATTACTCAACGTCGTCAGTTATGGGAGCAAGTGTAATGGCATGGTCAGCATTTATGGGAGAGCACAACTCATTATTGGTAATGGCAATTTGAAATGCCTGCGCTACCGGAACGACATCGTTTGAGATCGTGATATACCCTTTGCGCAAATGCAGAGATATAACGTCACACTGAAGCAGGATAATGCCCGTCACATATTGCACGTGTTGTAACAGACATTTGGAGGCAACATGACATTGCTGTACTGCCATGGCCTGCTGTACTCCAGACCACTCCCCCATAGAACATGTCTGGGATGAGATGGAACGAGGCCTATGACAGGACCAGAACCAGCCGGAAGGAAGATTACATATGTTTCAGCTACAGCTACACAACGATCATAAGATCCATCCGTTTGTATGTGATGCCAGCTGACACCATGACGCTGTCACCATCGTACCTAACGTGCTCTTGGACTGCTGCCGGATAGTACCTCTCTCCACACCGTCTCCAAACATTATTCTACCATCTGTATAGCGTAAACACAACTTCGATTCATCAGAAAACATGGTGTATCTCAAATGCCGTTGTTCATGCAACAGTCCTCTGGCAGGATGTCTTGACTTGAGACCCGTAGATTTCAACGTGTTTCGTATCCTTCACGTCAAAAGCGGATTCCTGTGGCAGCCATGAAGTTGTCCCTCAGTTCTGGTGCAGAACTGATTCTGTTCCTCGGCGCAATGGTGCGTGAGTATCGATCCTGCCTGGGAGTACTATTTCAAGGCCTTCCTCTACCTGCCCTCAGCTTAACCCCACCCGTTTGCCTATACCTTCCATCAGTCGGGATATCACTCGTTTAGAGCTACCAAAGTGTCTGGCAACTGTTCATTTTCTGTCTGTACACTTTGGGAGGCATTTTCCTTCTTTGTATCCGACCAATGAACCATGTGTTTGTGACATTTGTGGGCACATGTCACTCACCAGTATGTCACCGTGGACGGGGTGATTCAAATGTGCAATGCACAAAGTTTGAGCGAGTTTGCCATTCGCGTTCAGTAAGTGTGTCTCTTGCAACAAAGATGATCGTTTCATTCTTATAGCTGAAATGACAGGGTTCCCTTAAATATTGTTCCTCATATATCATGTTGTTATTTTTCAGTAGACCGCCTCCGTGGTCTAGTGGTAGAGCGTCCGCCCGGAGAGCGCAAGGTCCGGGGTTAGATCCACGTCCGCGTCATACCAAAAGACGTTTAAAGATGGTACTTGTTGTTACCCTGTCTGGCACTCGGCATTAAGGGGCTAAAACAGTGACTGGTAGGCTCGGATTCAGTTTACTGTGTCTGAGTGGGGTATTCATGTTTAACTGCGACATGGTATCTCAGTGAGCTAGCACTATGAATCGGTATCAGTCCGGACTTGCATCCACACACACACGTGCATGCACGTCGCTATATAATTGCAATAATCTTGGACGTGACGTTAAACCCAATTACTCCTCAAATCACGTATTTTCAGTAACATAATATTAACACCATATTATGCCATTCACAGTGACTGTTTTCCTTTACATGGTTAAAATGTGTGCCTTGTAATGATGGGTCCCGTGAAGATTCCGGGTAAGAATTGGCGGCGTAAAACCATACTCACTCACTCACTCACTCAGTCTACAAAAAATATATTTGTCCTGTTTATTGTTTAACGCAGCACTCAGCAATATTCCAGCAATATGAGCCCGGTCTGTAAATAATCAAGTCTGGACCATGATCAAGTCATGAGCATCAATCCACCCAAATGGGATACGATGACATGCACCAACCAAGTCAGCGGGCGTGACCACCCGATCACATTAGTTGCCTTTCACAATAAACATGGGTCGCTGAAGACCTATTCTAACCCAAATCTTCTTGGGTCACAAAAAATATGCTAAGGAACACCCAATTCTTTCATATTACTACAGTTAATCTGTCATGCCATGGAAGAATCGGATGGTCCTTAACCTTTTTTTAGTAGTATACATAAGAATGTAAGGAGCATATTGTGTGCGGGGATGAGTGACTTAGTTTAACGCTGCTTTGAACAATATTCTAGTTATTTCACTACATGTCAGCTTATGTGGTTAAAAACCCTGCCACAGGCCAGGGACCACTTCTGAGAAACCCACGAGAGCCCATCTTCCCGAGGCAAGAGAGTTAACTGACTTTTCCATCCTTGCCGAACTAGGCTGGAATTACTGAGCTCGATCGTAGCGCCACCAGTGGCTATTACAAGTTATGTCCCTTCTAAGGCTCTCCTATGGCCCAATCAAATTCCACCTCTCGTATCACTTGCGTTTGTTTCACACAAAATGGTGGCGCCCAGTCAAGACGATCTGATAGATAATCAAGATCTATATTGTGATAAAACGGGTCTTTCATCGCGAAATGCATCAAATCACGTGAGCATCTTGATTAAAAGCATGAAAAGATTTGGAAAATATCTGCTGACAACGAGTTGGCGATGCACATGTTTTTCAAATCCTGCAATCGACCGAAATCTGCAAGACAGTTTATGAACCGGATTTCGATTTCGGTGCACGATTTTGATTGGACTATGCATAGACTCGGTAGTCCAGCCAAAATGTTACTCCATAATACCAGCCTAGTTCGGCAAGGGTGGAAAATGGACTTTTATAGTGAGTTAACTCTCTTGCCTTAGGAAGATGAGGAGAGCCATGCAGACAGACCAAGTATCATATAGCTGAATCTAGGACTCACAATGATAATGAGCAGATCCTGACATATCCAAGTGAGGCAAATATGTCTGCACTATGAATGGCAGCTCCTCAGACCCAGTGTTCAAAATATAAAACAATTGCCAACTCTTCAGGTCCTTATTTATAAAAACTGCAGGTAATTTTCGAGACGAAAATTTACTGTATGCCATAAGGACCAACACAAATTCGAAATAAAGGGGCCGATATGAAATCTCCTTGCCATGGACCTATGAGCCACTTATTTTTGTTGGTTGGTTGGGTGGTTGTTGTTTAGGGCCGCACTCAGCAATATTCCAGCTATATGACAGTGGTCTGTAAGTAATCAAGTCTAGACCAGGCAATCCAGTGATTGACATCATGAGCATCGATCCACACAATTTGGATAAGATGACATCAACCAAGTCAGCAAGCCTGATCACCCAATCCTGTTAGTCGCCTCTAACAACAAGCATAGTCGCCTTTTACGGCAAGCATAGGTTGCTGAAGACCTTTTCTACCCTGGAATCTTCATGGGTGCACTTATTTTAAACACTGCTAGACCATTCAGTCATTCGTGCCTTTGCCTTCGAACATTAAGTGAAATTGTTGCTGCTTCCAGTGAACTGCTTCCGACAGCTATAGTTCAGGCAGTCACTATCCCCAATTTTACCCATCACAAAATACAGAACAGTCTTGAAATAGATATTTGTAAAATGAAATCATATTTTAATAAAAATGCAAAACATTTTATCAGACTTTTAAAATTCTATTCAGTTCATTCTGTCCAATGTTTCACAAGATTAAATGAAATCAAAACGGTTACAAGAAGACAACTAGAAAGTGTTTTTACTCGTAAAAACATATGTCTCCCCCCACTCCCCTAACCCCCATTCATTCGTTTACTTCACGTTAAACCCCATCTCTTCATTCCCACCCTCCATTACTAAATAACAGAGACAAAAATAGAACTCCTAGAAATTTCAAACAACTAATGGGCACCACTGCAGTGCTGGGTTAATGTGAAAACAAAGTTTTGCGAAACAATATTAAACGGTTTCCGAGTTATGGTCCGGAAACCAAGCTTACCCCCATTCAGAGTCTATGTTCACGTTATCTCCATGGAAACGAGAAAAAATAAAAATGTCAAAAATCTCTAAATAGCAAAAGGCACCACTTCAGTGCTGGGTTAATGTGTATACAAAGTTTCGCGAAAAAATATTAAACGGTTTCTGAGTTATGGTCAGGAAACCAAGCTTACCCCCATTCAGAGCCTATGTTCAACTTATCTCCATGGAAACGAGAAAAAATAAAAATGTCAAAAATCTCTAAATAGCAAAATGCACCACTTCAGTGCTGGGTTAATGTGTATACAAAGTTTCGCGAAAAAATATTAAACGGTTTCCGAGTTGTGGTCCGGAAACCAAGCTTACCCCCATTCAGAGTCTATGTTTAAGTTATCTCCATGGAAACGAGAAAAAATAAAAATGTCAAAAATCTCTAAATAGCAAAAGGCACCACTTCAGTGCTGGGTTAATGTTTATACAAAGTTTCGCGAAAAAATATTAAACGGTTTCTGAGTTATGGTCAGGAAACCAAGCTTACCCCCATTCAGAGTCTATGTTCAAGTTATCTCCATGGAAACGAGAAAAAATAAAAATGTCAAAAATCTCTAAATAGCAAAAGGCACCACTTCAGTGCTGGGTTAATGTGTATACAAAGTTTCGCGAAAAAATATTAAACGGTTTCTGAGTTATGGTCCGGAAACGGTGGGAATGCCGACGCCGACGCCGACGCCGACGGGAACCGTGCCAAAAACAATATGTCTCCCTCCATTCTGGGGGAGACATAATAAATGCCCCCTTCCACCCTTAGGAACTAAAAAGAAAAAAAGTCGTCTTGTGTTTGGTTTAGCTGAAAATCAGATATTTATTACCAATCAAATGTGTGATTAGAACAAAAGAGCTACCCACATGAATGCTTAAGGTATAAATGATGCAAACAATTACTGTACACTACATCTTTCTTGTCAATATGCAATTTACAATACCTTGAGCATTTCTTTTTACATGCTTCTACATCACGATGTAAATAAAATTGCAGTATAAGCAAAACCTTTACTGCACCAAAAAAGATATATTAATATATCTAAAAATACATAATTATTTAAAACAAAACAAATCAACAGGACTTGAGAAAAGAAACAACAAAAGGATCAGGTGTATGGTCTTGGTAACATTGCTGTACATTAAACATAGGTAACATTGCTGTACATTAAACATAGGTAACATTGTTGTACATTAAACATAGGTAACATTGTAGTACATTGTACAACCTAGGCAACATTGCTGTATATTGCAAGGAACACTGTTAAGCAACACTTAATAACATTTATGAGAGATAAATCTGTTTACATTGTATCACAGTAATAGACAAGTTTTATTAGAATTATTTTTTGAATTTCTGAATAAAATTACGAAAAATACATGAAAATTATTAGTATTGTTAGTGAAAGGCTTGGTGTATATGAGTCTACCTGACTGTGACTTGCTCCCTCGTGAATACAATATTCATACAAGGCCTTTTTATACAATAGCAGTAAAAATTTTATTTACAACCAGTAAATAAGAAAAGAACAGAAACTAAATGCTAAAATAAAACACATGACTTTAAAAGACATAGCCAAGAGTAACTAGGAAACTCTGCTGTAGTACAATTTAGTGTTGGGTAACCATGAGGTTAATCCTAGGTAACTGTTGTACAATGAAAGTTATAGGTAACTCTGTTGTACAATGAAGTTCTAAGTTGCTATGTTGTACAATAAAAGTTGTAGGTAATTATGTTGTACAACGCAAGTTCTAGGTAACTCTGTTGTACAATGAAGTTCTAGGTAACTCTGTTGTACAATGAAGTTCTAGGTAACTCCGTTGTACAATAAAAGTTCTAGGTAACTATGTTGTACAATAAAGGTGTAGGTAATTATGTTGTACAATGTATGACCAAAGTAATTGTTGTACACTGTATGTCCTTGGTTTGTACAATGCATGGCCTGGGTAGTTTTGTTGTACACTGCAAATCCTAGGTAACTGTTCTGCAATATTAGGCATACAAAACATTGAAAGAACAAGGCAACAGATTTCTCTGGGCTGATTCTACTGAGCTATTATTGATAAGAAACAATTTCCAAATGTCACAAAATTAGATCAGGAAATGCAGTTACAGACAATGTGGTTAACCCATATGCAACAATATACCTAAAAACCAATATAGACAAAGACTTCATAACAAACAAACGAGGTTCCATGAATGAATCAGTATTCAGTGAACCACATACCACTACTGATCATGTGCTAGAACTTTGAGCACTTCTTGACCCTTTAACCAAAATCATAACTTAAAACATACCTAGTGTCTTCAATAATATATGTCTACATGAATTAAGTAATGTTGATTGAAGATATTAATATCAAATCAGATGACAATGTACACATGATTTTATTTGTTGATTATTGCATTTAAACCAAACTAGAAACGATCAACACGGACTAGGAACAGACATCTTTAACAGTCAACAAAAAGAGCTGTCCCAACTGTCCCGCTGATGCATGTCAGGCCGGTGTCCACTCTCTCCCTTCTGAGGTCAGCTGACCTACTGAATTTTGACAGATGTTAGACGGACGTCGCCATTGACGTTCAGGTAGTCAATCCTGTTGAGTGGCTGGATCCTGTGATTGAACTCACAGAAGTGTTGGTTGTTTACAGCAATCTGGAACATAGGGTCTTCGGTTAGCGAGTTATAAGGAAAGCATTTCATGCACTCTCGTGGAGCAACATGACTCATACACTGTCAACAAAACAGTATGCATTTACTCTGGGTTCTTATTTCCAAGGAAAACAGATGCGTGAAGATTCCGGGGTAGAATAGGTCTTCAGCAACCCATGCTTGCCATAAAAGGTGACTATGCTTGTCGTAAAAGGCGACTAACAGGATCGGGTGGTCAGGCTCGCTGACTTGGTTGATGCATGCCATCAATCCCAAACGTGTGGATCGATGCTCATGATATCAATCACTGGATTGTCTGGTCCAGACTCGATTATTTACAGACCACCGTCATATAGCTGGAATATTGCTGAGTGCTGCGTTAAACAACAAACAAACAAACAAACAAAAACAACCCAAACTGTCTGTTTGGGTTTGCAGTCTTGCACTCACATTACCATCTCATCCTACTGGGTACCCAGCCACTGCTGGTTGAACAAGCATGAAATACTCATATGCCCCACCAATATGACATGTGTGCAAGGCAAGAAATATTTGTACGGTTTTCAAGATCTGCTCCGGAAACGAGCTCTACTACCAATTTCAGTGTAAGTCAAAGCCATTGCCATGGAAACTCGAAAAATCTTTTATGAAAAATCACAAACTACCGGTATTAAAGGGCACAAGTTCACCACCAGACCTATCTATGTGCCAATTTTGGTTAAGATATCTCTCATATTAATTAGTTCTGCTCCTGAAACGAAACGTAATGGACGGAGGGACCGAAGTATGGACGGAAGTCACCCATTCCTATATCCCCCTTCCACTTCGTTGCGGGGGATACCAAAGTCACATGACAAAAGGGGACACCACTTGTGTTACTCTCTGCTGCCAATATTGCCTACATTTATATTTTGACTTTAGTTATCTGTCCTCAATATTGTCAAACAGTAAAACAAAAGTTAAAATTAACAGGCTAACATTCATATCATCTTTTTCAAGCATTACAGGGATCTTGATATCTGTTGCATAACCAGGGTTTTACGCAACTCACAAATGTAGATAATGGATGCAGAAAATAGTATACTGCATCACACTAACATTTATTGTACCTACAGCGCATCAAGAGCAGTTATGGGCGTCTGTTATTTCACCCATCAATCATGGCCACTGTTCACATGATGATTGATTCATTCCAGGCTCTAAAGTAATTATCTAAATGTACAGTACACTACACCATTTCAATTATTTACAGGACCCTCATATTGCCTGCAATGACCCTTAAAAGTAATTATTGGGGGTCCCCTGAACCTCCACTTTTGTAAGTCAAGGTAAAACCCCTTATAACCCTTTCTCTTGTAAAAATGTAAAATATAGAGCATCAGAATCAAAATGTATCTGAGCAACCAACCATACTACACAAAAGAAGTTAAGGACTACCCCATTCTTTCATATATGGTTCAAATATTGTTGATGTGACCTTAAATTGTAACTCACTCATATTGCCATGCCAAGACAGATTAACTATTGAATGGGGTGGTCCTTAACTTCTTTTGAGCAGTATAACAAGAGTTATGTCCCCTAGATATGAAGACCCCTGTACTGTACACATGTGATCAATTTCTGACCAAATAAAGTTTTAATACCTTTTCATATATATTTTTACTACCCAGCCCTTATGATAAACATGCGCAAAAAATCAAAAAAATTTAACTTCCTTATTTGTTTGTTTGTTGTTTGAGCAATATTCCAGATGTATGACGTCCGTCTGTAAATAATCAAGTCTGGACAATCCAGTGATTGACATCATGAGCTTCGATTCACGCAATTGGGATACGATGACATGCATCAACCAAGTCAGCAAGTTTGACCACCCTATCCCGTTAGTCACCTCTTACAACAAGCATAGTCACCTCTTACAACAAGCATAGTCACCTCTTACAGCAAGCATGGGTTGCTGAGGACCTATTCTAACCCAGATCTGCTCAGAGCTAAACGTCCTTGAGTAGGATCTGCACATCAAATCCTATAAAATGTTCACCTTGATGCTGGCTTGTTCAATGAGGATGATCATGTCGAAGTTGGCGTTGGGCACGAAGGGGAAGAAGTTCTGGTGTTTCTCCTCGGTTCCCCATGTACTGCCGACCTTGTGGGTCCTGATAGTCTGGTTGTAGGCACCGCCATAGTTGAATCGGACATCAAAGTGCAAGCCAATGTCCCCCTGTTCACTCGGACCGCACATCAGGTTCACTGTGAATCTACAACCAGATTGAAACAGTGAGTGAGTAAATGCTGTTTTATATTCAAAAAGGCTCGGATTGCCCTCATGTTACTCTTACAGCCATCCTACTAGAACCTGTCCCATCCAGAAACGTCAAGACTGATCATGTCTGCCTGTTCATGTACACAACAAAGGCAGATAACTCTAATTCCAGTACAAAATCATAACTGACGACATTAGGAGGGGTTCTCTACTGTCAGGGTACATATTCATTGACGATATTAAGAGGGGTTCTCTAATGTTAGGGTACATATTCACTGACGACATTAGGAGGGGTTCTCTAATGTCGGGGTACATATTCACTGACGACATTAGGAGGGGTTCTCTTCTGTCAGGGTACATATTCACTGACAACATTAGGAGGGGTTCTCTAATGTTAGGGTACATAATCACTGACGACATTAGGAGGGGTTCTCTAATGTCAGGGTACATATTGACTGACGACATTAGGAGGGGTTCTCTTCTGTCAGGGTACATATTCACTGACGACATTAGGAGGGGTTCTCTAATGTCAGGGTACATATTCACTGACGACATTAGGAGGGGTTCTCTTCTGTCAGGGTACATATTCACTGACGACATTCGGAGGGGTTCTCTGATGTCAGGGTACATATTCATTGATGACATTAGGAGGGGTTCTCTACTGTTATGGTACATAATCACTGACGACATTAGGAGGGGATCTCTAATGTCAGGGTACATATTCATTGATGACATTAGGAGGGGTTCTCTTCTGTCAGGGTACATATTCATTGACGACATAAGGAGGGGTTCTTTACTGTCAGGGTACATATTCATTGACGACATTAGGAGGGGTTCTCTACTGTTAGGGTACATATTCACTGACGACATTAGGAGGGGTTCTTTACTGTCAGGGTACATAATCACTGACGACATTAGGAGGGGTTCTCTACTGTTAGGGTACATAATCACTGACGACATTAGGAGGGGTTCTTTACTGTCAGGGTACATAATCACTGACGACATTAGGAGGGGTTCTCTACTGTTAGGGTACATATTGACTGACGACATTAGGAGGGGTTCTTTACTGTCAGGGTACATATTCACTGACGACATTAGGAGGGGTTCTCTTCTGTCAGGGTACATATTCACTGACGACATTAGGAGGGGTTCTCTAATGTCAGGGTACATATTGACTGACGACATTAGGAGGGGTTCTTTACTGTCAGGGTACATATTGACTGACGACATTAGGAGGGGTTCTCTTCTGTCAGGGTACATATTCACTGACGACATTAGGAGGGGTTCTCTAATGTCAGGGTACATATTGACTGACGACATTAGGAGGGGTTCTCTACTGTTAGGGTACATATTGACTGACGACATTAGGAGGGGTTCTTTACTGTCAGGGTACATATTCATTGACGACATTAGGAGGGGTTCTCTACTGTTAGGGTACATATTCACTGACAACATTAGGAGGGGTTATCTTCTGTCAGGGTACATATTAATTGACGACATTAGGAGGGGTTCTTTACTGTCAGGGTACATATTCATTGATGACATTAGGATGGGGGGTCTCCCCTGGCGTGCAACACATAGTCAAGGTGTACACTCACCTGGAAACATTAGGGTTGGGGTCTCCCCTGGTGTGAAACACATAGTCAAGGCGTACACTCACCTGGAAACATTAGGGTTTGGGATTCCACTGACGTACAACATGCGGCCAGGGTAGATGCCGCCAGGAATGTTGGTTGTGAAAGGCACAGGCTGCAACAAAACACAATATAAGCATAATGTCTATCTTGTTGGTATTTGGGACTCAGGAGTGTGGTATGTGGGGTGTAAATAAAATTGTATTTGGTACGCAGATTCAAAATTTTAAAAATATTGATTTGAAATTCCATTATATGTTTTATTTTCTTCTATTTTATTCCGTAATTTAACTTCAAATCGCATCCTTTTCTCAATGCTTTTGAGACTTGTGTTAAGTAGTAATGAGGATGCAAGTGAGAACAATGAAATATTTTATGGTATTTGGGATTCAAGGGAGGAGTGGGTTGGCACCCTCAAGGGGACCTATTCTAAACTGAAATCCACATGGGACTAATGTGCATGAAATCATTGAGTTTGATACTTGGGTTCTTCAACAGATGAAGACTCACCGGGTTGTAGATAGGCTGGGCACCTGCATATGCCGGGGGAGCTGGGCTCTGTACAAACACACACAATACCTCACATGTCACACAGTATCAGAGAATATCACACAATGTCAAACAATGTTAATTAGTATAATTACACAATACACAAAGCCATACAATGTCACACAATATCACACAATGGTACACAAGCTGATACAACAAAGGGAGACAATTCTGCACAGCAAGTAGCATCCCCTTAAATGATACAGCTATCCGTAGAACAGAGACAGATGTTGCTAGATGATGAATTAAAACTATGTGGTTGTGAGGACTCATGGTTCAAGCATATAAACAGGATGTTAGTGAGGAGTGACATGTTATCACATGTTTGTTGTTCAATCTCATTAAAATCAGATCTTAGTCCCCGCTACGGCTACACAAAAATCTGAGGACATCCCATTTATTTACTGGTAATGTCAGAACAACCAATGAAATGTCAGGAAGTTGACATTTGTCAATCAGGAAGCAGCTTTCTCCAGCTTTACCACTTCCATTCTAGACTACACTAAAAAAATATTTTGAATAAGTTCTCCATTCAAAATATGAAAAGTGAACGAAAGAACATTATGGGATGTCGAATAGATGGGCAAAACTTGTATGGCATTATTCCCAAGGGCTGTGGAATTTCTTTTCCCGTTTCAAATATTTATCCCAGTGAAGAGAGACATAGGATGATTTGGATGGAATCAGTCGTACAGCCTGAAACTGTTGATCGAGGTTGCATGATTAGAAAACACATTCAGACATTCTGTGATTGTCCGATGAAAGGTCATTCTGACGTGGCCTGTTATGGAATGTCCTCAGAATTATGTGAAGTGATATTGACCACGAAGGTCTGTGGTCCGTACCACAAAGCGATCTTAGCAGTAAGGGGATCGTAACTTTGATACTTCAACATGGACTTACGACTGTCGTAGCACTACAATCGCTTTGTGGAATGGGGCCCATATTTATATGCCCAGCCAATATGACATGTCCAGTTGTGTGCAAGGCAAGTAATATTATATGGTTTTTCAAAATCTGCTCCGGGAACTAGCCCTACCACCAATTTCAGTATAAGTCAAACCACCTTGTCGCCTGACCAACATATCAATGTTGTCGCTTCATACAAGCATAGTTTGGTAATGAGATACTCTAACCTGACGTAGCAACAATAAGAGCCTGTGTATTAGTCAGAGGCAGAGTTCAAAGATCAAATGTTAGGTGAGGTGAGGTGAAATGGGGTTTAACGTCGCGTCCAAGATTATTCCACTTATATAGCGACGTGCATGTACGTGTGTGTGTTTGTGTGGCTGCTTGTACTAGTCCGGACTGATGCCGATTTATAGTGCTAGCTCACTGAGATACCATGCCGCAGTTTAACATGAATACCCCACTCAGACACAGTTTACTGACTCCGAGCCGACCAGTCCTTGTTTTAGCCCCTTAATGCCGAGCGCCAGACAGGGTAACAACAAGTACCATCTTTTAACGTCTTTTGGTATGACGCCGCCGGGGATGGAACCTTCCGCTCTCCGGGCGGACGCTCTACCTCTAGACCACGGATGCGGTCTCAAATGTTAGGGATCAAGGATCAACAACTAAAATGTTACAGATTAATACAAGGATCAGACTAGGAGTGTTCAAGCACAAACAGTTATAAAGTCATGACAATGCGATGCTGTAACATATTGCAAGGATGGGATATGAGCTCATCTCAAGCAAGAACACAAATTCATGAAATCATCCTTAGATAAGTAAGGTTCTGTTTAAGCACAATGATGAAGAAGCAACAAGGATGAGATAAGATCTTCTGAAGGCACAAACACAATGTAACAGCTTGGATGTAAATGGTAATTTCAGAACACACCATAAACTTTGTACTGCTGAGATAAGAACATAATGTATATTGATAGGGGTCAGATAAGCTCTCGCATTAGCACCAGGATAATGCTATTTAATTCTGCGTGGATGAGTTTTAAATGTAACATTAACTATTACATGGATCGGATCACTTGGACACAAACAAAATAGCATAGAATACCACATGGACTACCTTAAGATCTTACTATCCACATATTCACATGATTAAGTCTATTGATGAGCTCAAGTCTCCTTGAAAGTGCAACATCAGATCTGTATCTAGTTTCTATGGCCAATGAATTTTCCGTATTGTCACAGAGAAAATTTCTTTGACATACAATTGAGATTATTTATTATAAATAACAAATTTAAGGTGTGGTTACATTAACTTTTTCATGACAGGGGCGGTGGGGCAGCCTATTGGTTTAAGCGTTCGCTCGTCACGATGAAAGCCTGGGTTCTAATCCCCACATGGATACAATGTGTGAAGCCCATTTCTAGTGTCCTCTGCCATGATATTGCTGGAATATTGCTAAAAGCAGCATAAAGCAAAACTCGCTCACTTTTTCATTACATCCTCATTCAACGATATGCCCCAATGACCATGGTGAGTAGTTGACATATTGACAATATCTATATATTTGTATGTATGCAGACAAAAGCATGAGCCTTGCAACATCTTGTTCCATACCGAGCACTACAAAGGATTCTTTCACATGAAGACGTTTTGACCATTTTTGGTAAAATATGTGCTGCGTCAAATCAATTATTGGACTGTTTTGATGAATCTAGTCCTAGTAGACAACCACATTTGAATTTCCTTCTATTCCTAGCAGACAACCACATTTGAATTTCCTTCTATTCCTAGCAGACAACCACATTTGAATTTCCTTCTATTCCTTGCAGACAACCACATTTGAATTTCCTTCTATTCCTAGCAGACAACCACATTTGAATTTCCTTCTATTCCTAGCAGACAACCACATTTGAATTTCCTTCTATTCCTAGCAGACAACCACATTTGAATTTCCTTCTATTCCTTGCAGACAACCACATTTGAATTTCCTTCTATTCCTTGCAGACAACCACATTTGAATTTCCTTCTATTCCTAGCAGACAACCACATCTGAATTTCCTTCTATTCCTAGCAGACAACCACATTTGAATTTCCTTCTATTCCTGAATTTCCTTCTGTTCCTAGCAGACAACCATATTTGAATTTCCTTCTTTTCAAAGCAGACAACCATATTTGAATTTCCTTCTATTCCTAGCAGACAACCACATTTGAATTTCCTTCTATTCCTAGCAGACAACAATATTTGAATTTCAGTCTTGTCCAACACATCATCCCACAAGGCAGGAGAAGAAATGTTAAAAGAGCTTTCTCTGTCAATGAGTGAGCATGGTTTTACACTGCTTTTAGCAATATACCTGCAATATCACGGCAGGGGACACCAGAAATGGGCTCCACACATTGTACCCATGTAGGGAATCAAACCCAGGTCTTCAGCGTGATGAGTGAACACTTTAACCAAAAGGATACCCCACCACCCTTTTTCTCTATCAAATAGAACTCAATTTACAGATACAGAATCTGACTTCGCACCAACAAGTTGAGTGCAATGACAAGATGAGGGGTGCAACTAGTCTACGTGGTGATGGTGGATCTTACCCCTGGGAACATTGGTTGGCCTGCGATGTACATGGATGGACCTGCAGGGGGGGCATAGCCTGCAGGGGGGGCATAGCCTGGAGGGGGGGGTTGGTAGTGCGGAGGCATAACAGGCTTGAAAAGGAAACAGTGTGCATTTCTTACCAATTTCAATGTATACATATATACAAATTGAAACACCATTAGAAACAATATCTGTAGAATTATCCTTTCAAATTCGAGATTTATTGCTAATAAATACCGTAAGATCATTTCGTCAGAGAAACATACATAAAATATTACTATAGTCTTCTCTATTTAATATTGGTATAAGTATCTGTTCCATAATCTTAGTTCGTACCTGAAGTTCAGCTTATTTAGCACAACAATACAAAATACATATTTATTTTATTCTAAATGATATCTGTAGACTTATTCATTCAATATTAATTTGTTTCCCGATCAACATTGGAAGTTGAACCCCTTTCATATATTAAATAATGCTTATTCTGCTCATATCAGGATAGGAATCAATTGAAAAAGCCGTAACACTGATATTGCATAACTGGCGTAACATCCTATCTTGTCATCTTCACGGGCAAGGGAGTTAACTGACTGTAAAATCCAGTTTCCACCCTTGCCGAACTAGGCTGCAATTCTGGGGTTATATTTTGGCTGGACTAACGAGTCTATGCATAGTCAAATCAAAATCGCATAACAAACTAGACATCCGGTTCATAAACAACATTGATTTCAACAAACAGATTTAGGTCGACTGCAGGATCTGCAAAGCATGTGTACTGTAAACTGGGCTCAAGTGATTTGATGCACTTGGCGAGGTAAGACCCCTTCTATTACGATATAGATCTTGATTATGGATCCAATCATCTTGACTTTGCACCACCATTGTGTTTGAAGCAAATACAAGTGATACGAGAGATTGAACCTGATTGGTCAATAGGAAGAACATAGAAAGGACATAACTCGTAATAGCCACTGGTGGCGCTATGATCGAGCCACAAAATTTCAGCCTAGTTCAGCAAGGTAGGAAACTGGACTTTCATCATCAGTTAACACCATTGCTTCGGGAAGATGCATCTCATATGACATCACCCAGTGCCAGGAATGGAGACTTTTATGCAGCAGCATCTGGAGCAGCAGCGGCAGAAACAAGAGAAACATCCTTGCCGTAGTCATAGTGACATTTCCGTAGGGACTATGATGATGATGATGACTTACTGCACCACCCTCAAACTTGATGTAGCTGATGTTGACATCCCCTGAGATGATCAGGTACTGGACACTCTCCTTGGGGATGCGGTGACGGAAATTAGTGTAGTGGCGGCCATTGATGGAAATCTGTGGACGTGAAGGCACAGTGCTATCATACAATGTCAATACAAACGCTGACAGAGCTCCATCAAGACATAACTTATAAAATAAACAAATATCTGTTGATAACTTCTGAAAACATGTCATGGGCAGGCAGTTGATGTTTGTTGTAAGAAACTGTGCTACCCAATGATTAATTTTACTTCTGTCTAGAGGCGAAATACCCACAAGTGCAACATGTATTACTGTGTTCAATGCCTGAGAAATATGTCCTTATATTTAAGCTTCCCTAAACCGAAGTGGTCCATGAGTTCACCTTGTAGTGATGAGGATCCGCCAGAATGATGATTTCAAAGGGGGTCCCTTTCCGAAGTGGCATCCCTCCTCCCCTCTCCTCCTGGCCCCAGGCATTGTACTGCTGCGAGTTCCGGATGATCGCATTCTCGTTGAATCTCACATTGAAGTGGAGGGCGGTGTCAGGCAAGGGGCTTATCTGGGGGCTCACGCACAGGTTGATGGCGAAGCTGCAACATTCAGGCACCACCATCCATATTCTGTCTCTGTGTGGATCCTTCCCCTATCACTGTATGTGGCTAGTTCCTCTATCACAGTAAGTGGCTAGTTGCTCTATCAAAGTAAGTGGCTAGTTGCTCTATCAAAGTAAGTGGCTAGTTGCTCTATCACAGTAAGTGGCTAGTTCCTCTATCAAAGTAAGTGGCTAGTTGCTCTATCACTGCATGTGGCTAGTTCCTCTATCACAGTAAGTGGCTAGTTCCTCTATCACTGTATGTGGCTAGTTCCTCTTTCACTGTATGTGGCTAGTTGCTCTATCCCTGTATGTGGCTAGTTGCTCTATCACTGTATGTGGCTAGTTCCCCTATCACTGTATGTGGCTAGTTCCTCTATCACAGTAAGTGGCTAGTTCCTCTATCAAAGTAAGTGGCTAGTTGCTCTATCACTGCATGTGGCTAGATGCTCTATCACAGTAAGTGGCTAGTTCCTCTATCACTGTATGTGGCTAGTTCCTCTTTCACTGTATGTGGCTAGTTGCTCTATCCCTGTATGTGGCTAGTTCCTCTATCACTGTATGTGGCTAGTTCCCCTATCACTGTATGTGGCTAGTTGCTCTATCACTGCATGTGGCTAGTTGCTCTATCACAGTAAGTTGCTAGTTCCTCTATCACTGTATGTGGCTAGTTGCTCTATCACTGTAAGTGGCTAGTTCCTCTATCACTGTATGTGGCTAGTTCCTCTATCACTGTAGTTGGCTAGTTGCTCTATCACTGTATGTGGCTAGTTCCCCTATCACTGTATGTGGCTAGTTCCTCTATCACAGTAAGTGGCCAGTTCCTCTATCAAAGTAAGTGGCTAGTTGCTCTATCACTGCATGTGGCTAATTGCTCTATCACAGTAAGTGGCTAGTTCCTCTATCACTGTATGTTGCTAGTTGCTCTATCACAGTAAGTGGCTAGTTCCTCTATCACTGTATGTGGCTAGTTCCCCTATCCCTGTATGTGGCTAGTTGCTCTATCACTGTATGTGGCTAGTTGCTCTATCAATGTATGTGACTAGTTGCTCTATCACTGCATGTGGATAGTTGCTCTATCACAGTAAGTGGCTAGTGCCTCTATCACTGTATGTGGCTAGTTCCCCTATCCCTGTATGTGGCTAGTTGCTCTATCACTGTATGTGACTAGTTGCTCTATCACTGCATGTGGATAGTTGCTCTATCACAGTAAATGGCTAGTTCCTCTATCACTGTATGTGGCTAGTTGCTCTATCACTGTAAGTGGCTAGTTCCTCTATCACTGTATGTGGCTAGTTCCTCTATCACTGTATGTGGCTAGTTCCTCTATCAAAGTAAGTGGCTAGTTCCTCTATCACAGTAAGTGGCTAGTTCCTCTATCACTGTATGTGGCTAGTTCCTTTATCACTGTATGTGGCTAGTTCCTCTATCACAGTAAGTGGCTAGTTCCTCTATCACTGTATGTGGCTAGTTCCTCTATCAACGTAAGTGGCTAGTTCCTCTATCACTGTATGTGGCTAGTTCCTCTATCAAAGTAAGTGGCTAGTTCCTCTATCACTGCATGTGGCTAGTTCCTCTATCACAGTAAGTGGCTAGTTCCTCTATCACTGTATGTGGCTAGTTCTTCTATCACTGTATGTGGCAAGTTCCTCTATCACTGTTTGTGGCTAGTTCCTCTATCACTGTTTGTGGCTAGTTCCTCTATCAAAGTAAGTGGCTAGTTCCTCTATCACTGTATGTGGCTAGTTCCTCTATCACTGTATGTGGCTAGTTGCTCTATCACAGTAAGTGGAAGTTCCTCTATCACTGTATGTGGCTAGTTGCTTTATCACTGCATGTGGCTAGTTCCTCTATCAAAGTAAGTGGCTAGTTCCTCTATCACTGTATGTGGCTAGTTCCTCTATCACAGTAAGTGGCTAGTTGCTCTATCACTGTATGTGGCTAGTTCCTCTATCACTGTAAGTGGCTAGTTCCTCTATCACTGTATGTGGATAGTTCCTCTATCACAGTAAGTGGCTAGTTCCTCTATCACTGTATGTGGCTAGTTCCTCTATCAAAGTAAGTGGCAAGTTCCTCTATCACTGTATGTGGCTAGTTGCTTTATCACTGCACGTGGCTAGTTCCTCTATCACTGTATGTTGCTAGTTGCTTTATCACTGCACGTGGCTAGTTCCTCTATCACTGTATGTTGCTAGTTGCTCTATCACAGTAAGTGGCTAGTTCCTCTATCACTGTATGTGGCTAGTTCCTCTTTCACTGTATGTGGCTAGTTGCTCTATCCCTGTATGTGTCTAGTTGCTCTATCACTGTATGTGGCTAGTTCCCCTATCACTGTATGTGGCTAGTTGCTCTATCACTGCATGTGGCTAGTTGCTCTATCACAGTAAGTGGCTAGTTCCTCTATCACTGTATGTGGCTAGTTGCTCTATCACTGTATGTGGCTAGTTCCTCTATCACTGTATGTGGCTAGTTCCTCTATCACTGCATGTGGCTAGTTCCTCTATCACAGTAAGTGGCTAGTTCCTCTATCACAGTAAGTGGCTAGTTCCTCTATCACTGTATGGGACTAGTTGCTCTATCACTGTATGGGACTAGTTGCTCTATCACTGTATGGGACTAGTTGCTCTATCAGTGTATGGGACTAGTTGCTCTATCAGTGTATGTGGCTAGTTCCTCTATCACTGTATGTGGCTAGTTGCTCTATCACTGCATGTGGCTAGTTGCTCTATCACAGTAAGTGGCTAGTTCCTCTATCACTGTATGTGGCTAGTTGCTCTATCACTGTAAGTGGCTAGTTCCTCTATCACTGTATGTGGCTAGTTCCTCTATAACTGCATGTGGCTAGTTCCTCTATCACAGTAAGTGGCTAGTTCCTCTATCACAGTAAGTGGCTAGTTCCTCTATCACTGTATGGGACTAGTTGCTCTATCACTGTATGGGACTAGTTGCTCTATCACTGTATGGGACTAGTTGCTCTATCAGTGTTTGTTACTGTTTGCTGCGTCACTGTATGGGACTAGTTCCTCTATCACTGTATGTGGCTAGTTGCTCTATCACTGTTTGTTACTGTTTGCTCTATCACTGTATGAGGCTAGTTGCTCTATCACTGTATGTGGCTAGTTGCTCTATCACTGTATGGGACTAGTTGCTCTATCACTGTTTGTTACTGTTTGCTGCATCACTGTATGAGGCTAGTTGCTCTATCACTGTATGTGGCTAGTTCCTCTATCACTGTATGTGGCTAGTTTCTTTATCACTGTATGGGACTAGTTGCTCTATCAGTGTTTGTTACTGTTTGCTGCATCACTGTATGTGGCTCTGGGTAGGATTGTTACACATTATATACACTTACTTGTTGTGGTGGTGATGACAGGTGCCCTGCACGATGATCATCTTGCCATTCGGAAGGCCGCCTGGGATGGGGCAGTTGTATGGAATAGTCTGAAATAACAAGGTATCATTTATGAAGTCTGTTAACTTAGTAACCCTGCCTCCACCACACAACATTGTATATATGTTCATGATGTTACACACACAAAAAAAACAGACAATAAACTAAATCGAGTAATGAGAAGATTCACATGGTGCCTGAACAAGGATGACTGATCTCAGATAGAGAATGTCAGGTGTTGGGGTGGGTCCCTCATATGGGCTGCTGATCTCAGATAGAGAAAGTCAGGTGTTGGGGAGGGTCCCTCATATGGGCTGCTGATCTCAGATAGAGAAAGTCAGGTGTTGGGGAGGGTCCCTCATATGGGCTGCTGATCTCAGATGGAGAAAGTCAGGTGTTGGGGTGGGTCCCTCAAGTGGATTACTGATCTTAGATACAGAAAGTCAGGTGTTGGGGTGGGTCCCTCATATGGGCTGCTGATCTCAGATGGAGAAAGTCAGGTGTTGGGGAGGGTCCCTCATATGGGCTGCTGATCTTAGATAGAGAAAGTCAGGTGTTGGGGTGGGTCCCTCATATGGGCTGCTGATCTCAGATGGAGAAAGTCAGGTGTTGGGGAGGGTCCCTCATATGGGCTGCTGATCTCAGATAGAGAAAGTCAGGTGTTGGGGTGGGTCCCTCATATGGGCTGCTGATCTCAGATAGAGAAAGTCAGGTGTTGGGGTGGGTCCCTCATATGGGCTGCTGATCTCAGATGGAGAAAGTCAGGTGTTGGGGTGGGTCCCTCATATGGGCTGCTGATCTCAGATGGAGAAAGTCAGGTGTTGGGGTGGGTCCCTCATATGGGCTGCTGATCTCAGATAGAGAAAGTCAGGTGTTGGGGTGGGTCCCTCATATGGGCTGCTGATCTCAGATGGAGAAAGTCAGGTGTTGGGGTGGGTCCCTCATATGGGCTGCTGATCTCAGATAGAGAAAGTCAGGTGTTGGGGTGGGTCCCTCATATGGGCTGCTGATCTCAGATGGAGAAAGTCAGGTGTTGGGGTGGGTCCCTCATATGGGCTGCTGATCTCAGATGGAGAAAGTCAGGTGTTGGGGTGGGTCCCTCATATGGGCTGCTGATCTCAGATAGAGAAAGTCAGGTGTTGGGGTGGGTGACATGCAAATATTGCTGTGAAAGTGTGAATTCATAGCAGTTAGAGAAAGGATCTCCTGTGGGTATATTCATCAAGTGGGCTGCTGATCTCAGAGAAAGTCAGGTGTTGGGGAGGGTCCCTCAAGTGGAATACTGATCTCAGAGAAAGTCAGGTGTTGGGGTGGGTCCCTCATATGGGCTGCTGATCTCAGAGAAAGTCAGGTGTTGGGGAGGGTCCCTCAAGTGGATTACTGATCTTAGATACAGAAAGTCAGGTGTTGGGGTGGGTCCCTCAAGTGGGATGCTGATCTTAGATACAGAAAGTCAGGTGTTGGGGTGGGTCCCTCAAGTGGGATGCTGATCTTAGATACAGAAAGTCAGGTGTTGGGGTGGGTCCCTCAAGTGGGATGCTGATCTTAGATACAGAAAGTCAGGTGTTGGGGTGGGTCCCTCAAGTGGGATGCTGATCTAAGATACAGAAAGTCAGGTGTTGGGGCGGGTCCCTCAAGTGGGATGCTGATCTTAGATACAGAAAGTCAGGTGTTGGGGCGGGTCCCTCAAGTGGGATGCTGATCTTAGATACAGAAAGTCAGGTGTTGGGGAGGGTCCCTCATATGGGCTGCTGATCTCAGATGGAGAAAGTCAGGTGTTGGGGAGGGTCCCTCAAGTGGATTACTGATCTTAGATACAGAAAGTCAGGTGTTGGGGAGGGTCCCTCATATGGGCTGCTGATCTCAGATACAGAAAGTCAGGTGTTGGGGTGGGTCCCTCATATGGGCTGCTGATCTCAGATAGAGAAAGTCAGGTGTTGGGGTGGGTCCCTCATATGGGCTGCTGATCTCAGATAGAGAAAGTCAGGTGTTGGGGTGGGTGACATGCAAATATTGCTGTGAAAGTGTGAATTCATAGCAGTTAGAGAAAGGATCTCCTGTGGGTATATTCATCAAGTGGGCTGCTGATCTCAGAGAAAGTCAGGTGTTGGGGAGGGTCCCTCAAGTGGATTACTGATCTCAGAGAAGGTCAGGTGTTGGGGTGGGTCCCTCAAGTGGGATGCTGATCTTAGATACAGAAAGTCAGGTGTTGGGGTGGGTCCCTCAAGTGGGATGCTGATCTTAGATACAGAAAGTCAGGTGTTGGGGAGGGTCCCTCATATGGGCTGCTGATCTCAGATAGAGAAAGTCAGGTGTTGGGGAGGGTCCCTCATATGGGCTGCTGATCTCAGATAGAGAAAGTCAGGTGTTGGGGAGGGTCCCTCATATGGGCTGCTGATCTCAGATGGAGAAAGTCAGGTGTTGGGGTGGGTCCCTCAAGTGGATTACTGATCTTAGATACAGAAAGTCAGGTGTTGGGGTGGGTCCCTCATATGGGCTGCTGATCTCAGATGGAGAAAGTCAGGTGTTGGGGAGGGTCCCTCATATGGGCTGCTGATCTTAGATAGAGAAAGTCAGGTGTTGGGGTGGGTCCCTCATATGGGCTGCTGATCTCAGATGGAGAAAGTCAGGTGTTGGGGAGGGTCCCTCATATGGGCTGCTGATCTCAGATAGAGAAAGTCAGGTGTTGGGGTGGGTCCCTCATATGGGCTGCTGATCTCAGATAGAGAAAGTCAGGTGTTGGGGTGGGTCCCTCATATGGGCTGCTGATCTCAGATGGAGAAAGTCAGGTGTTGGGGTGGGTCCCTCATATGGGCTGCTGATCTCAGATGGAGAAAGTCAGGTGTTGGGGTGGGTCCCTCATATGGGCTGCTGATCTCAGATAGAGAAAGTCAGGTGTTGGGGTGGGTCCCTCATATGGGCTGCTGATCTCAGATGGAGAAAGTCAGGTGTTGGGGTGGGTCCCTCATATGGGCTGCTGATCTCAGATAGAGAAAGTCAGGTGTTGGGGTGGGTCCCTCATATGGGCTGCTGATCTCAGATGGAGAAAGTCAGGTGTTGGGGTGGGTCCCTCATATGGGCTGCTGATCTCAGATGGAGAAAGTCAGGTGTTGGGGTGGGTCCCTCATATGGGCTGCTGATCTCAGATAGAGAAAGTCAGGTGTTGGGGTGGGTGACATGCAAATATTGCTGTGAAAGTGTGAATTCATAGCAGTTAGAGAAAGGATCTCCTGTGGGTATATTCATCAAGTGGGCTGCTGATCTCAGAGAAAGTCAGGTGTTGGGGAGGGTCCCTCAAGTGGAATACTGATCTCAGAGAAAGTCAGGTGTTGGGGTGGGTCCCTCATATGGGCTGCTGATCTCAGAGAAAGTCAGGTGTTGGGGAGGGTCCCTCAAGTGGATTACTGATCTTAGATACAGAAAGTCAGGTGTTGGGGTGGGTCCCTCAAGTGGGATGCTGATCTTAGATACAGAAAGTCAGGTGTTGGGGTGGGTCCCTCAAGTGGGATGCTGATCTTAGATACAGAAAGTCAGGTGTTGGGGTGGGTCCCTCAAGTGGGATGCTGATCTTAGATACAGAAAGTCAGGTGTTGGGGTGGGTCCCTCAAGTGGGATGCTGATCTAAGATACAGAAAGTCAGGTGTTGGGGCGGGTCCCTCAAGTGGGATGCTGATCTTAGATACAGAAAGTCAGGTGTTGGGGCGGGTCCCTCAAGTGGGATGCTGATCTTAGATACAGAAAGTCAGGTGTTGGGGAGGGTCCCTCATATGGGCTGCTGATCTCAGATGGAGAAAGTCAGGTGTTGGGGAGGGTCCCTCAAGTGGATTACTGATCTTAGATACAGAAAGTCAGGTGTTGGGGAGGGTCCCTCATATGGGCTGCTGATCTCAGATACAGAAAGTCAGGTGTTGGGGTGGGTCCCTCATATGGGCTGCTGATCTCAGATAGAGAAAGTCAGGTGTTGGGGTGGGTCCCTCATATGGGCTGCTGATCTCAGATAGAGAAAGTCAGGTGTTGGGGTGGGTGACATGCAAATATTGCTGTGAAAGTGTGAATTCATAGCAGTTAGAGAAAGGATCTCCTGTGGGTATATTCATCAAGTGGGCTGCTGATCTCAGAGAAAGTCAGGTGTTGGGGAGGGTCCCTCAAGTGGATTACTGATCTCAGAGAAGGTCAGGTGTTGGGGTGGGTCCCTCAAGTGGGATGCTGATCTTAGATACAGAAAGTCAGGTGTTGGGGTGGGTCCCTCAAGTGGGATGCTGATCTTAGATACAGAAAGTCAGGTGTTGGGGCGGGTCCCTCAAGTGGGATGCTGATCTCAGATAGAGAAAGTCAGGTGTTGGGGTGGGTGACATGCAAATATTGCTGTGAAAGTGTGAATTCATAGCAGTTAGAGAAAGGATCTCCTGTGGGTATATTCATCAAGTGGGATGCTGATCTCAGAGAAAGTCAGGTGTTGGGGAGGGTCCCTCAATTGGATTACTGATCTCAGAGAAAGTCAGGTGTTGGGGTGGGTCCCTCAAGTGGGATGCTGATCTTAGATACAGAAAGTCAGGTGTTGGGGTGGGTCCCTCAAGTGGGATGCTGATCTTAGATACAGAAAGTCAGGTGTTGGGGCGGGTCCCTCAAGTGGGATGCTGATCTTAGATACAGAAAGTCAGGTGTTGGGGCGGGTCCCTCAAGTGGGATGCTGATCTTAGATACAGAAAGTCAGGTGTTGGGGAGGGTCCCTCAAGTGGGATGCTGATCTTAGATACAGAACGTCAGGTGTTGGGGTGGGTCCCTCAAGTGGGATGCTGATCTTAGATACAGAAAGTCAGGTGTTGGGGTGGGTCCCTCAAGTGGGATGCTGATCTTAGATACAGAAAGTCAGGTGTTGGGGTGGGTCCATCAAGTGGGATGCTGATCTTAGATACAGAAAGTCAGGTGTTGGGGCGGGTCCCTCAAGTGGGATGCTGATCTCAGATAGAGAAAGTCAGGTGTTGGGGTGGGTCCCTCAAGTGGGATGCTGATCTAAGATACAGAAAGTCAGGTGTTGGGGCGGGTCCCTCAAGTGGGATGCTGATCTTAGATACAGAAAGTCAGGTGTTGGGGTGGGTGACATGCAAATATTGCTGTGAAAGTGTGAATTCATAGCAGTTAGAGAAAGGATCTCCTGTGGGTATATTTATCAAGTGGGATGCTGATCTCAGAGAAAGTCAGGTGTTGGGGGGATCCCTCAAGTGGATTACTGATCTCAGAGAAAGTCAGGTGTTGGGGTGGGTCCCTCAAGTGGGATGCTGATCTTAGATACAGAAAGTCAGGTGTTGGGGTGGGTCCCTCAAGTGGGATGCTGATCTTAGATACAGAAAGTCAGGTGTTGGGGCGGGTCCCTCAAGTGGGATGCTGATCTTAGATACAGAAAGTCAGGTGTTGGGGCGGGTCCCTCAAGTGGGATGCTGATCTTAGATACAGAAAGTCAGGTGTTGGGGAGGGTCCCTCAAGTGGGATGCTGATCTTAGATACAGAAAGTCAGGTGTTGGGGTGGGTCCCTCAAGTGGGATGCTGATCTTAGATACAGAAAGTCAGGTGTTGGGGTGGGTCCCTCAAGTGGATTACTGATCTTAGATACAGAGAGTCAGGTGTTGGGGAGGTTCCCTCAAGTGGATTACTGATCTTAGATACAGAGAGTCAGGTGTTGGGGAGGGTCCCTCAAGTGGATTACTGATCTTAGATACAGAAAGTCAGGTGTTGGGGAGGGTCCCTCATATGGGCTGCTGATCTCAGATGGAGAGGGCTGCTGATCTCAGATAGAACTAGGATATGTTCAAACATGTTTCTGGTCAGAGAAAGTCTGGGGATAAGGGGTGTTTCTATTCCTTTCTTTTGTCATCTCAAAGCCATTTTCCAACCTGGGCTGTATTGAATGTATTTTATGCTGCAGGAACATCTAAACACTTTTCACAAATGTCTCATATTCAAAACATATCTGACGTACTACATAAGATCTATTAACACATGTTTAAGGTTTCAAGCTATACATGACTATTTGGCATGTCTTCTACCATCTATTAATAAATTTTCCTCATGCTTGGAATATACATCCTCTTTCTGTTCATGATCCATTTTGCAGAATCTTGAACAAACTAATTGTTTCCTCCAACTAACTTTAACAATGATTACACACAAGGAAACAAAGTGGTATATTATATTACATATGTACAAATAACAATAACCATTTCATCTTTACACAGACCATTAATATGAGGATACTTTATTTGTATTTGCTCGCGTGCAACATCTGTAATTACCAACAGCTTCTGCTGTTTTATATAGAAATATTGGTGCTGTGACTTCACTGAGTCTTTTTGTTTAGCATGGGAGTTACAATTAATGAAGCTCTACAAAGTTCTCATTATTAAAACAGCTACAAGGCCTCTTAATTGTCTGTTCTTATGTGAACCCACAATTCTTGATAGCGACAGAAACTAACATATTTAGTCCCCAACTCCTTATCATGATAACATATAGCAACCCCTTAAACTGGCAAATTTCTACCCGTCCTTATGATACGTTAACTATCGGGCTGTTTGGCAAGGACCACAGGACTAGTGCCAATTTCTAACGCTGCTTCATGGTTCTATCCTAATAGTCCCATAATATGCAAATACCCCAGCACATGTATTTTGGCCTTCAATACTGTTTTCTCACCACTTCATCAGAATGATGAACTTTAGCGAAGAGCCGTACCAGGATCCAATGGTCAAGATATAGGGCCAAGTAACTGTCATGCCCCATCGCGGCTATCAGCTAGGTGAGCTTTTGTTAAGTTCTACCCAGTGCTGATTTGAATCAAGTTGTGGACAGTGATACTTGCCCCCTTGCGCCCCCCCCCCCCCCCCCCCCCATCAAAAAAGTTAACTACGGCCTTGTCTCCCCCCCCCCCCACTATGCTTATTTAACTACTTGCAAAACATCCCCCACAACAACAAAATGAAAATAGTATTTCTCATTTCCCTGATCTAAAAAAATTGTAAATTATTATCAACCATCCTGTTCATGAGATCATGTTTGGGATTTGAATCTCTATAATTATTATCTACCATTGTCTACATGCTGCAATAAGAATTAAGAGCCTTTATTTATCTAAATATTGGGTATTTAAAGTGTAAATGAGTTTGCCTCATTAGAATTCGTAACTGTACACAAACAAAACAAGGGATATAATGGGTTATAATTCGATATCGTGATATTCCTTAATTGCAATATTTCCCTATATTTCCCTATCGTTTCACGAGTCGTTCTAAGGAAAGCCCCGCCCACTTCCAAGAAAGGCGAAGAAGAAGCCCCACAAACAGTTCACAAGCACACACAATATACAGTGATGGAATAGCACATTTAGAACGTACCGGGTTCACAATAGTTCCTCCTGAGTATGCCATGATGTCTGTGCGAGTTGTCAAGCTTTCTTGCGACTAAATGCAGTAACCTCCGAAAGAAGAGTGACGACAAGCAGAAGTGATCACTTGATTCAGTGTCAACACGCGGAAGTGAATCACCGCCGCAGTGGACATGCGCAAAGAATAGCTAGGTCATATGACGCTTGCCGTCCATGACCTGACCAGTGGTTATCTTGGAAAGCTCGACTGAACGTGAAACGTTGGTGGATGAAACATCATCGTTCAAATATTACAGTTCCATATAAATCCGCTGTAAAAAAATGTAGTCAAGTAGAGGAATATTTCGAATGCAGATATTTTCGGAACAGAAACGTCGAAGACTGATATAGATCTAGATCCATTTTGAGCTACAGAAATACGTATCTTGAATGACAGAGAGAGTGAGCACGAATCAGGTCGATATGTAAACAGCGGTTGATATCATGAGCACTGGCTTACACCGGATACCTTCAAATTTACTTCTGGCAAAATTATCTATATATACAAGAATATGAGAGTCATACTAGACACATCCATTTTAAACATTGCTAAGTTCAGTAATATTATTAAGATCTATGTACTGTGTTCATGCTATATGATAGAGTTATATTTGAGTGTCATCTATGAAAATATTGAAATGACTACCATATATGTGTTACAGTAAATGTGTAAAATGTGATTCACTTGGGCAATTTATAAAATGCCTAAATATTCAGTAATTTTGCAAATTGACTGAGAAAACTGTCCATTTATTTAACAGATTGACTAAAAAATATGAAGAAGTTCCATAGGGCTTATAAACACCAAACTGAATAATTGTGCTTGGTATAGAAGCCAAAAATATCTAAAAATATACATCGACTTTCGTTTTCTTTGAATTCTATTATTTTCAGTCACTGGGTGATAAAATTAAACATCAAAATGTTTGGAATCCATTACCGTTACCGTTGCTGTAACCGTTTCAAATGTGTTAAAACACTATTCCAATGGTCCAGTCACCTGAGGCACCGCAATTAGCTGCGTTACGTCCCTTAGGCATGCCAGAATCTGTGGTCGTTGGTTCGAATCCCATCCGCTCTGATTATATTTCAAGGTTTGTCAATACAATACCCGCGTGGTAACCGTCAAATGTCCTGCATTACCTTTTTTTCCTCCGACATAAAGATTTTAACTGAACGCGACCTTTGTTTCCTTGAACACGACTTTTCTTAGCAATATAATATTGCTATTTGAGCAGAAATGGGGAAAGAGCACTCCTGACCTCTAAACCAACGTCGCTGTAATCTTGCATCATTTCTTGTTTCGGCTTCCAGATCGCGCTAAGGACCGGTCATGTTTACTTTATTTTTAATGATTTTTACAGACATGAAGCGGAAGTTTTCAACCACTGGTTCATCCAATAAATAACCTGTAAATAATCGAGTCTGGACAAGACATTCCAGTGATTGATACCATGAGCATCGATCCACGCAATTGGGAAGAGATGACATGCATCAACAATTTTTTAAGTCAGCGGGCCTGACCACCTGATCCCGTTAGTCGCCATTACAAGCATAGTCGTCTCTTAATGCAAGCATGCTGAAGATTTATTCTCTACGTACCCGATCTTCACGGGTATCTCTGACTATGGCATAAATGATTATCTATACACTCCACACTGATGATATGTGGCCTGTCTATGTCGTCTTGATAAACAGATATGCATAGAAGCTATAACGTGTGTTAATATGAACTCGAAATAGTAGATAATATATATGATCTATAGTAAACTACGGTTATAACGAACTCAAAGGGACTACTATTTTTCGTTCGTTATAAGCATATATACAGCATAACTACAGCAAATAGTCGGGACTAAAAAGTTAGTTTGTTATATCCGTCAGTTCGTTATAAGCGTGTTCGTTATAACCGTAGTTTACTGTACATCGAAACGAAGTCTCCTCTGCAGTTTCACACACACCACACATAGACACTACACTGCGAATCCTTGTTTGAGAGACTATCCGAGCAGGACATTCAGCCATTGCAAATACGATATCAAATACTTTGTACATACATACGCCAGAAATAATTGCCTTCATTTATCATTGACTGAAGTACTAGCTGGGGAACTTTGCTCAAATTATCAACCTTTAAGTCGTACGTGTTATCTTACGGTTAGATTGCGAAACACAGACAGATAGGACAATGGTTTTCTGTGTTATCTTACTGGCGTATTGTGAAATAAACATAGAACAATGCGTGTCTCGTGCTACAGGCATCTATCTTTGACCCGTCCTAGTGGGTGTATCTAAAGCGTGCAAGGTCAGCGTCACCTGCACCTTTTTTGTTGTGTTGAGTATACGTGGGTGTCTGTGCAAGGTCGGCATTATTAGAATGAGTGTTGGGTAACGTCGTGAGTGAGAGAGAGTGAGTATGGTTTTACGCCGCTATTAGAATATTACAGCAATATCGAGGCAAGGGACACCAGAAATGGACTTCATGTGGTTTTATGTCGTATTTAACCATTTTCAGGACATACCACAGCGAGGACAACCAAAAAACGGGATTGAACGGGATTAAATGCCTACGTCGTGACGAGATAACGTTTTAATCACAAGGCTACATGTACACAACCGTCTCCTTTTTTACTCGAGAATAATCAATTTGCGTTACCTTTATGTTGTATAAAACCGAATCTCATTATTGTCATTATTAATTTAAAGGGGCGGTCAGGTAGCTTAGTGGTTAAAGCGTTCGCTCGTAACGCCGAAGACCCGGGTTCGATTCCAGACATGGGTACAATGCGTGAAGCCCATTTCTGGTGTCCGTGATATTGCTGGAATATTGCTAAAAGCGGCGTAAAATCAAACTCAATCATTCACTATTAATTTAAAGGCGTTTATATGAACTATAAACACCCTTGAACCCAATCTCATCAAATCTTAGAGCTCGCTACCGCTACGATGTGACCCTCCCGTGAAGATCCCCCGTTAGAATAGGTCTTTAGCAACCCATGCTTACCGTAAAAGGCGACTATTCTTGTCGTAAGAGGCGACTAACAAGATCGGATGGTCAGGCTTGCTGACTTGGTAGAAGCATGTCATGGTATCCCAAAAGCGTGGATCGATGCTCATGATATCAATCACTGGTTGTCTGGTCCAGTCTCGATTATTTACAGACCGCCGTCATATAGCTGGAATATGTCTGAGTGCGGCGTTAAACAACAAACAAATAAAACGACGTGCGGTAGCGAGCACACTATCTGATTTATGAGAATGCCTTGTAACATAACAGAAAACAACATTTTAGCCTGTGATAGATTATTATTTATTATTTCGACCTATTCGAAAGTACGTCAAATTCTATTGGACAAAATGTTTTCAAAGTCTTGTATTCGCCCGTGCAACCCAGACGAAAATGGTTTTACCCATAATGCATGCTGCAACAAAACACACGACTGTAATCAGTCAGTTGGCATATGTGTCGAAATCAAGCGATGTGACCATGACGTAGCATACATTGCCGCTCATTGATACAGGCAGACGGTGCCTGGTGACAGTAACAGTGTGTTTGTTCGTGTCCTGTTGGTGTTGACTGTGTGTCCATGAGAAGGGATTGTAGAGTTGCCACACTGACCTACACCAGGCGATGTACATAGTAAATACCCGTTGGGTTTTGTTTTTGTTTGTTTTTTATTGTTGTTTTTTGGTTTGGTTTGGTTTTGGTTTTGGTTTTGGTTTTGTTTGTTTTGTTTTTTGGGTTTTTGTTTTGTTTGGGTTTTTTGGGGGGTTTTTGGTTTTTTTTGGGCGGGGGGGGAGCTCATGCTCTTTAGAAGGGTGCCTCCTATGTCTAAACTAGCCGTCAGGCTGTTGTGTGAGACACTTAGTGAGCTGCTGCATCCCATGTCTAAACTAACCTTCAGGCTATAGTGTGAGGCACTCAGTGAGCTGCTGCATCCTATGTCTAAACTAACCTTCAGCCTGTAGTGTGAGACACTCAGTGAGCTGCTGCATCCTATGTCTAAACTAACCTTCAGCCTGTAGTGTGAGACACTTAGTGAGCTGCTACATCCTATGTCTAAACTATCCTTCAGCCTGTAGTGTGAGACACTCAGTGAGCTGCTGCATCCTATGTCTAAACTAACCTTCAGCCTGTAGTGTGAGGCACTCAGTGAGCTGCTGCATCCTATGTCTAAACTAACCTTCAGCCTGTAGTGTGAGACACTCAGTGAGCTGCTGCATCCTATGTCTAAACTAACCTTTAGGCTGTAGTGTGAGACACTCAGTGAGCTGCTGCATCCTATGTCTAAACTAACCTTCAGGCTGTAGTGTGAGGCACTCAGTGAGCTGCTGCATCCTATGTCTAAACTAACCTTCAGCCTGTAGTGTGAGGCACTCAGTGAGCTGCTGCATCCTATGTCTAAACTAACCTTTAGGCTGTAGTGTGAGACACTCAGTGAGTTGCTGCATCCTATGTCTAAACTAACCTTCAGGCTGTAGTGTTAGACACTCAGTGAGTTGCTGCATCCTATGTCTAAACTAACCTTCAGGCTGTAGTGTGATACACTTAATGAGCTGCTGCATCCTATGTCTAAACTAACCTTCAGCCTGTAGTGTGAGACACTCAGGGAGTTGTTGCATCCTATGTCTAAACTAACCTTCAGGCTGTAGTGTGATACACTTAGTGAGCTGCTGCATCCTATGTCTAAACTAACCTTCAGACTGTCGTGTGAGACACTTAATGAGCTGCTGCATCCTACGTCTAAACTAACCTTCAGGCTGTAGCATGATACACTTAATGAGCTGCTGCATCCTATGTCTAAACTAACCTTCAGCCTGTAGTGTGAGACACTCAGTGAACTGCTGCATCCTATGTCTAAACCATCCTTCAGGCTGTAGTGTGATACACTTAGTGAGCTGCTGCATCCTATGTCTAAACTAACCTTCAGACTGTCTTGTGAGACACTTAATGAGCTGCTGCATCCTATGTCTAAACTAACCTTCAGGCTGTAGTGAGGCACTCAGTGAGCTGCTGCATCCTGTGTCTAAACTGACCTTCAGCCTGTAGTGTGAGACACTCAGTGACCTGCTGCATCCAATGTCTAAACTAACCTTCAGCCTGTAGTGTGAGGCACTCAGTGAGTTGCTGCATCCTATGTCTAAACTAACCTTCAGGCTGTAGTGTGAGACACTTGGTGAGCTGCTGCATCCCATGTCTAAACAAACCTTCAGGCTGTAGTGTGAGACACTCAGTGAGCTGCTGCATCCTATGTCTAAACTAACCTTCAGCCTGTAGTGTGAGACACTCAGTGAGCTGCTGCATCCTATGTCTAAACTAACCTTTAGGCTGTAGTGTGAGACACTCAGTGAGCTGCTGCATCCTACGTCTAAACTAACCTTCAGGCTGTAGCGTGATACACTTAATGAGCTGCTTCATCCTATGTCTAAACTAACCTTCAGCCTGTAGTGTGAGACACTCAGTGAGCTGCTGCATCATATGTCTAAACTAACCTTCAGCCTGTAGTGTGAGGCACTCAGTGAGCTGCTGCATCCTATGTCTAAACTAACCTTCAGCCTGTAGTGTGAGGCACTCAGTGAGCTGCTGCATCCTATGTCTAAACTAACCTTCAGGCTGTAGTGTGAGGCACTCAGTGAGCTGCTGCATCCTATGTCTAAACTAACCTTCAGGCTGTAGTGTGAGGCACTCAGTGAGCTGCTGCATCCTATGTCTAAACTAACCTTCAGGCTGTAGTGTGAGGCACTCAGTGAGCTGCTGCATCCTATGTCTAAACTAACCTTTAGGCTGTAGTGTGAGACACTCAGTGAGCTGCTGCATCCTATGTCTAAACTAACCTTTAGCCTGTAGTGTGAGGCACTCAGTGAGCTGCTGCATCCTATGTCTAAACTAACCTTTAGGCTGTAGTCTGAGACACTTGGTGAGCTGCTGCATCCTATGTCTAAACTAACCTTTAGCCTGTAGTGTGAGGCACTCAGTGAGCTGCTGCATCCTATGTCTAAACTAACCTTTAGGCTGTAGTGTGAGACACTTGGTAAGCTGCTGCATCCTATATCTAAACTGACCATCTGGCTGTAGTGTGAGACACTCAGTGAGCTGCTGCATTCTACACATACGTTATTAAAGTTGTGGTTCACTAAATACCCACAAACAAGGAGAGGCTTGGTATTCAAAAACGTTTATTTAGTTCACAAACAAGTTTATAAGCCATAAATACATAGATATAATGTAAATGTGTGTAATACTGATCGGGGAAAGTAGGATTCCTGATATATGTAAAGTAATGCTTGTACTGGATGATGGGCTTGGTCTAAACTAACCAGAATAAAGCCAAATTGTATGTGTCCTGTGACAAAAACACTTAATTCCTTTCTAACACTGAAAACAATAATAGTCCTGGTTATCAGGCACCGCCCGCATCATCATAAAGTCTTCCGCACATTTTGTTTTTATTTCCATAATAAAAAAACAAAACAAAACCTAATACTTAGAAACAATGTGATCCAATATAGCACACAGCTACCTCCCAATACATGCAAACTACTTTCCTGCTCATCTTGTGTTTTGGTCATGAGTTTGTATGCCTGTTTATGTTGGGAGGCCCTTTACAAGGTTGATGGTACACAGCTGTTTATTTTGTCACATACAAGTTATAAACAAGCAAAAAAACAGACATACTAGTTAGATAACAAGCAAAAATAAAAAGACAACCTAGTTTGAACAAGCAAAACAAAACAGACCCCCGCCCGCTCTATATTTTCAAAAGTCATTGCCTGAGAACCAATTCTCTTATTTTTTAAGCCAAATACATTCTCGTCAGTTGTCTTCTAAGTATAATGAATTATAAATAGAACACATTAAACACATATAGACACACTGAAACACTCAATGTTAACAACAACAAATTCATTTTAAAGTACTGACTTTTTAAACATAAATTATTTTTTTCCTCATTAACTACTATGATGGTGAATGAGATTATGCAGTACTAAATACTGCATTTATACCCAGAACATTACAGGAGACTTGGGAAGAATTCCATAATACTGAATTGTCAGGTGCAAATAAAATATTCATGACTGATTGTTCTAAAAATATATATATATATATATATATATATATATATATACATACATAAAAGTAGAAATGAGTTAAAACAAATAATAAAAATATCTAAAACAACGTGAGACATCCACAAAAGATTTCATTTACTTAACCCAGAACTACAGAGCTTAGTAGTTCTGGAGATTGGAAAAAACCATTTCGGACAAAAGGACATTTCGAGAAAGGCTATCATGGAACAGGTAGATTATGTTCTAATAGACATAAGGTAGGCTATCACAGGATTGACAGGATAGACAAGGTAGGATATGCCAAGATAGACAAGGTTGGATATGACAGGCTCAGTTTGCAGAGGATAGGATGGGCCCAAGGTAACGAATCATGAAGTCTTCTTCTGGCATGTTCTGGTAGACTGCAGTGTCCGTGCAACTTTGCAGGAAATGGCTGCCATGGAAATCTGCAGTTGTCAGGAGAACAGAGGCTGAGCTGTCTTTGATACATGCTATGAACTTTGCCTGATAATGTTTCTGGGGGTACACAATACTGTCATATATCTTGTACTCTATCAGCAATTGATCTTTGGCTTGGAACTTCAGCATTGCGTCTCTCTTGATGTCTGGTAGCTTCCCCCCATTGAACTGCATGGGAACACACAGTGCCCCAAGTGTTGCAGTGAGGCGGTGGTTCAGATACAAGCGGCAGATATCAGCAAGTCTGCCGGAGTCAAGACGCGGGGAGACGATATAAACGACACATTTCTCATCTTGGAACCAGGAGTTGAGGAGTGACTTCCATACCCGGTACAGGACTTGGCCCTCCAGAACACAGCCCGCTCTCAGTCTCTCAGTCTGCAGCTCTAGTTCCAGCTCGGGCAGCTGCAACATATACAGCAGAGAAAGGGTGAACCTTTGCTTCTGCAGCCTGTCCCCAAGCTCATCCCCCTGCAGCCAGCACACACACCAGTAATGCACTTTTCCCAAGCTCATCCCCCTGTAGCCAGCACACACACCAGTAATCCACTCTTCCCAAGCTCATCCCCCTGCAGCCAGCACACACACCAGTAATCCACTCTTCCAAGCTCATCCCCCTGTTGCCAGCACACACACCAGTAACCCACTCTTCCAAGCTCATCCCCCTGTAGCCAGCACACACACCAGTAATGCACTCTTCCAAGCTCACCCCCCTGCAGCCAGCACACACACCAGTAATGCACTCTTCCAAGCTCACCCCCCTGTAGCCAGCACACACACCAGTAATGCACTCTTCCAAGCTCATCCCCCTGCAGCCAACACACACACCAGTAATGCACTCTTCCAAGCTCATCCCCCTGCAGCCAGCACACACACCAGTAATCCACTCTTCCAAGCTCATCCCCCTGCAGCCAGCACACACACCAGTAATGCACTCTTCTCAAGCTCATCCCCCTGTAGCCAGCACACACACCAGTAATGCACTCTTCCCAAGCTCATCCCCCTGCAGCCAGCACACACACCAGTAATGCACTCTTCCAAGCTCACCCCCCTGTAGCCAGCACACACACCAGTAATGCACTCTTCCAAGCTCATCCCCCTGTAGCCAGCACACACACCAGTAATCCACTCTTCCCAAGCTCATCCCCCTGCAGCCAGCACACACACCAGTAATGCACTCTTCCAAGCTCATCCCCCTGCAGCCAGCACACACACACCAGTAATGCACTCTTCTCAAGCTCATCCCCCTGTAGCCAGCACACACACCAGTAATCCACTCTTCCCAAGCTCACCCCCCTGTAGCCAGCACACACACCAGTAATGCACTCTTCTCAAGCTCATCCCCCTGTAGCCAGCACACACACCAGTAATGCACTCTTCCAACTCATCCCCCTGTAACCAGCACACACACCAGTAATCCACTCTTCCCAAGCTCATCCCACCACCATCTCTACTACCTACAGCTCAACCCACCAGTGATCCACTCTTCCACCATCTCCACTACCTACAGCTCAACCCACCAGTGATCCACTCTTCCACCATCTCTACTACCTACAGCTCAACCCACCAGTGATCCACTCTTCCACCATCTCCACTACCTACAGCTCAACCCACCAGTGATCCACTCTTCCACCATCTCCACTACCTACAGCTCAACCCACCAGTGATCCACTCTTCCACCATCTCCATCACCTACAGCTCAACCCACCAGTGATCCACTCTTCCACCATCTCCACTACCTACAGCTCAACCCACCAGTGATCCACTCTTCCACCATTTCCACCACCTACACCTCAAGCCACAGCAATCCATTCTTCCATCACTTACAGCTCAACCCACCAGTGATCCACTCTTCCACCATTTCCACCACCTACACCTCAAGCCACAGCAATCCATTCTTCCATCACTTACAGCTCAACCCACCAGTGATCCACTCTTCCATCATTTCCACCACCTACACCTCAAGCCATAGCAATCCACAAGCCTACTGGTGATTTTGCTTCCTCTTATATTATCATACGGTCTAAAAAGCTTAAGTCCTAACTGTCAATTCTTATAATCTTATGTTAAGTAATCTATACAGTTCAATGAAAATTGTTATACCTCTTGCAATCCTGCAGTTCTATTGGTTAATCCGTACCATGTAAAGACACAATACATTACAATGAAGACCCCTAAATCATGTGGCTGACACTGAGCTGTCATGTGATGAATATTGACTCGTCTGCTAGAAACAAGATGGCGTCTGGTAAACTAATATTTTATGGTTTCGCAGCTAAGTTACTATTATGAAACAGAGGATGACTTAAAGGCTTCATGACTTTAAAGGTAATTTCCATATAACAAAACGAATGATTACTGTTGATGTGATCAATATGCGAAAACAAGGACCCTCAGACCTGACCCTTTCTGCAGTCTGACCACCTCAGGGGTTGGTCCTCCGTCCTTGTTTACGCACATTGACCTCGTCAAGAGTAATTATTTGTAAATGTAGCATTACAATAATCCTCCACTTTGTATGAATATGACATCATCAATGATCAAGAAGGTAAAATAACTACTCACAACTTCAGGGTCGGAGTGAATGTATTGGTGTTCGTCACTGAGCATGTCAGGCAGCTGGGGTTTGACCTTCCTCTCCAGTTCCTGTCTGTGAGTTTCCCCATCATGCATCACATTCACTTCCTGTCTCAGCGCCTCATCCGGCCAATTTGCCTTAACTGTAACACAACTAAATATATCAGAATTGTAGCTCTTCATTTCAATACACTTGTATGCACCACAGTTCACTCTGCAGAGTTGCATCCCCTCGCCAGGCAAGGATTCACTGATGATGAATTTGAAGAAGTCTACATAGTAACCATAAATATGCTCAAACAAGATCATCCAGAAGGCAGGTTTCTGGACCATCAGGGTCTAGACAAATGAGTTTCACTGTACTCCAGTGACAAGTTAAATATTAATATTTTCGAAAGCATAATACACGATTATCATTTGCATATGTCTCTACTCAAGACGTCTAGTCAATACTTACTATGTTTTTCCTGATAATACCATCTTACCGAGGCAAGAGAGTTAACTGACTTTAAAAGTCCCGTTTCCACCCTTGCCGAACTAGGCTGGAATTTCTGGGCTTGATCTTAGCACCACCAGTGGCTATTACAAATTAAGTCCTTTCTATGTCCCCACTACTGACCAATCAGATTCCATCTCTCATTGCTACAAACAAAATGGTGGCACCCAGTCAAGATGATCTTTATGGTAATGAAACGGGTTTTACCTCGCAAAATGCATCAAATGACTTGAGCACCTTTATCAAAAACATGAAAAGATTGGGAAAATATCTTTCAACGCCCAGTTGACGTGTTACACATGCACTACTAATCTCTACTAAGCCTGCAATCGAACGAATTTGGCACAGCAGTTGTCATGATATTTATGAACCGAATGTCCATTTTGATTGGACTATGCATGGACTCATTAGTCCAGCCAAAATGCAACTCCATAATTCCAGCCTAGTTCGGCAAGGGTGGAAACTGGACTTTTAAAGTCAGTTAACTCTCTTGCCTCGGGAAGATGAGACAATACATACCCTGAACCAGAAGTGATGGCGCATATGTGTCTAGTATTTGCATTTACCTACCACTTATGGGGTGACTTGTGATCCTAAAATGCACAAGAGTTATCCCCCTTCATCCTACAAGACACTCCACCATGTGAATATGTGTAATTTTATTTCACCAACCAAAAGTAAACTGCTTTCATGTAAGCTGAACCCAAGGTCACACTCGCATCACATACTAAGCAAGCACACATGGGCCAAGCTTAACTATAGTTAACTATAATAACCATAGTCAGTAATTTCATGGACTGGTATTTGTATCAGGAGCTATCAGTCCACCTACATTCCTTTCAAGTTTACTACATGTATCACTAAAATGAATATTATCTTGTAATATCATGGGTTTATTATAGAAGAAACTGTAGTCAAAGGTAACATAAAATATATCCCTGCTTTGATTTTAACCAGAATCCATCTGTCTCAAGCATGTTCCCCTCTTAACATGCTTAACCAATTCTAATTATTTTAACAAAAATTGCCTTCAACTCTTTTATAACAAACAAAATGATAGCAACATATTGTGTCCAAAAATCTGTAAAATAGCAATATAAGTTATTTCCACAGTAAATAATAATAATAGTGAGTGAGTGAGTGAGTGGGTTGGTGGGTGGGTGAGTGAGTGAGTGAGTGAGGTTTTACACGGCTTTTAGCAATATCACGCAATGATGATGACAATCCAGCAGATTGTTCAATAGAGACACTGCAGCAAATGAGAATGTTCTTTTACAAAAAGTCTTAACACATGGAACTGAGAAGATATTTTGATGGTGAAATTGAAGAGTCCGTTGAGGACAGCAAATAGGTAACAGTATAAGATGTGACTATGTCTACATCACTGCAGAGGAATTGCAGAACAGATACAAGACTGGTAGAATGACCTGTGGATGAGTAAAATGAAATATAAAATAATCAACAGCCTGCCAAGTGTCACCTACACTGTTCTCTCATGTGATGCTTCTCCCTCTTCCATCTGGACTCCTGGGCGTCGGTGAGGGTGGGTCTGAGGGGCTGTGGGTGATCGATGGGGGACGTGTAGGCAGCCATAAGTCCTCGGAACCGGTCCACAAACCACTCCAAGGCATACGTCCCCGTGATCTGCAGCATCCCGGACAACATGAACACAGCCAGCTTCACGCCATCAACGCTCAGGACCACCCTGTCCTCGCCTGACCTGCCACTCCCGTACAGCTTTCGGTACGGGAAATGTTGCATCGGGTAGTTGTTCTGATGCTGCAGGACTTTGATCCAGAAAATGGCAAGCACTGTTGATCCAGATTTGCGGACATGTCTGATCGATACGGTTGATGTCTCGGCTAAATACAGGTATACCCTCTCCCCAGTTTTCGTTGCTACAAAGTTACGGATGTCCCGCTCTATTGCTGGTTCGTCCATGTCTTGACCACCTTCTTGCGTGCATGTCTCCACTGCAGCAGCCATTGTTGGTAGTCACTGAGGCTCCTGCTGAGGAATGAAACAGAGGTTCAAATGACTTCATCAGTGCCTGGTCAGTAATTATAGGGGCAGGAAGTAGGGGGAGGGGTGTGGGGGATGGAAAAAAATGATTTTTTTTTTCAAGTAAATGTTATATAAATTTGAACATTATTTAGGGACTTGCAATTTAAATGTTACTTAAAGGGGGGGGGGGGGTCAGCAAAATATGATACAGTTCAACACACACCCCTCCGCCAATAATAAATGACCCGTCCCTCTGGAGACAAACATAGTGAGTTTCTAATGCAGACAAGATTACTTGTTGATTTAATCTCACTAAATAGAATTGAGAGCCGAACGATGCAGGGACAAGAAGAAACTTGATATTTGTAGCCCTATCCCTGACTGTGACATATCTTTGGCATAACAATGAGCAGTGTCTAGTCATAACAGTGGTGTGCAGTATAGAACTAAACGTTGCTTGCTCCATTTCCTTTAGGTGAGATAACTTAACCTTTGTTGACAGAGTAGTTGTACCCACAGACTTGTATAACGGTTATATAGGTCTGTGCTGTACCACAGACATTCAGAGCATCTCATAGATATTTGTGTCAAGTAAATTGATATAGGAGTTTATGCAGCGACCTACTACGTCTTACGAAAATATTGATGTTTCTTGAATTCAATTTTTTTAACTTTTTTGTTTGTTTCTTGTTTAACGCCACACTCAGCAATATTCCAGCTATAAGACAGCGACTAATCGACTCTGGACAAGACAATCTGTGATTAGCATCATGATCTACGCAATTGAGATACGATGACTTGGTTCAACAAAGTTAGCAAGCCTGACCACCTGATCCCATTAGTCGCCTCTTACAACAAGCCATTGGCTTGCTGAAGATTCAAAATTCAAATTAATTGGATTCAAACAATTCAACTTCATTTTACTCACAAACTGAAGAGAATGCATTTTTAATTTTGTTGTGGAATGAGATAAACATAGTGTGCTGTGTGTTTGGTTCCAAAATCAATCGAGGGCCATTCAATCTACAGATAATATAGCTTTACACTGAAACAGTGTGTGTTTTTCTCTTAATTCATTGCCAATAAAAAAATAAAAAATTGGCCACCTCAATATAATATGTTAATATCATCAAGAACACAACTTTGATGGTGATGAAAGAACTATAAAAATACATATAGGTCTTCAATAGAACCGCAAAGATGTCTGACAGATATTGTTTTTTAGAATCAGAAATTGCCTTTGAACAGCTTGAAAAATAACTTGTCAAAAATGACAGATATAAGGCACAATTAATTGTTTGATGGGCATTACTTAGAAGTTTTACGGGTGACAAGGTAGACACAATTTTATGGATAACAACTTCTTTAATACTGTAAAAAGCGACGTTTCTGTTATCCCACTCATGTATGCAATTGTTGTTACTGTTAATCCCAATCATGTATGCAATTTTTGTTGCTGTTAATCCTCTAACGTTAATTCTCCACCTACTACATGTATATATATTCTGTACAATGTCCCTCATCTATACCGAAACGTCGCTTTTCTACAGTTTTAAAGAAGTTGCTATCCATAAAATTGTGTCTACCTTATAAGGCACAATATCATGTACTAGATAGATCTACAAAATCTACTAAATATTATTAGGGAGACCCATATGGTCCACAGGCACTCGTTATTGGTCAGTAAATAAAAATATATACCCCCTATATATAAGTAGATAAATATATTGGGGGTATATATTTATCTACTTATATATAGTGGGTATATATTATTATTTACTAACAAAAATTAAGGGGTTCCTGTTTTATGGCCTCTGATTGTTATAATATTATACATAGATGATTCTATTGGTCTTTATCACAAAAAGCCATACTTTGGGATAGGCATGAAACAATTAATGCAACAAACATTATAATGATGACGACATTAAATTATTCAATTCCATTACATTATCAAGCGCTCTGACCAGTGCAATAAAATTTACCAGGACGAGGTCACTCTTCGGGTTGCTAATGTAAACAAGCTTCCGAAAACCGTTGCTATGCATAACTGAATGAGTAGCTTTCTACCTCCAACAAGTAACGGAGACCTTCCGCTATATACATTATGCGAATTTCATATTGTTTACCAACAGTTAAAGCTAACACGCCCGCACACAAACACAGTGTCAGACAATGACACAAAACCCGATCTCACCTGCGCTTTGTTGACCGACAATAAATGAAGGGAAGTAACTCGAGGTCATCCCTAAGACAATACGATTTTGTGCAGATCTGTGGTTCTGGAGTTCGCCGGTTCGAACCTAATGCTTTCCTCAGTTGCACATTGTCGACTTCAGTCATCGTCTACACCCTTCTATAAATCAGTTATAGCTGGTATACAATATATATCTTATACAACCTCATAGGGCAACTCTAAAAGCAACTTTGTATACAAAGCAAAAAGTGCACACGCTGTTTTAGACCAAATTTGTGAAACATATTTGATAAAATTACTGCGTATTTGTACACTTTATCACATCGTATGATAGTAATATTACTTCAAAAATGTATCTTTGGGCAAATGCTTTCGTTTTACATGAAAAAATTATTATTATTCCAAAATTGTTGTGAAAAAGAATCTGTCTGCCACAAACAACACATTTTTGCAAGAAGTTAGACTTAAATTTAGACTCATAAATTCAATTTAAAAATATTTGGTTTTGCAGTTGTAGCAGAAACAATGCTTCGTCTCCATACATAATCCCAGAATATTATTAGTTTATTTTAAAAAAAGAAGCGCGTATAGAGTGAATTTCACTGGTGTGCCTGTACAGGTCTCCCTGCTCACTCTGGGATCGTCATGGTAGCCTAGTGATTAAAGCGTTCGTTCGTAACGTCGAAGGCCGGGTTCGATTCCCCATTTGTGTAAACGCTGGGAGTGAGTAAACATTTAACGTTTGTTGTCTCAGCAATATTCCAGCTATATGGCGCCTGTCTGTAAATAATCGAGTCTGGACCAGATAATCCAGTGATTGACATCATGCGCATCGATCCACGTAATTAGATTACGATGACATACATCAACCAATTCAGCGAGCCTGACCACCCGATCCCGTTAGTCGCCTCTGACAAGCATAGTCGCTTTTTATGGCAAGCATGGGTTGCTGAAGACCTTTTCTACCCCAGATTTTCTAATCACTATAGTTTACAAACGCTGTAAAAAAGTGTATTTAGAATGTAAACACATGCAAGCCATGTTTAGATCTGTACATGTTTATATATTGACCTTTTTCACACTTCGCTACTTCCGGTTTGAAAGCGAGGCTTGGAGAGCAGAAGGTGAAGGCTGGATAGCACATGAAACACATGGAGATGTCAACAAGGCATGCAATCGGGACAAACTGTGACAATTTAACCACCCCGGTACATTTATCGTAAGTATTGAACATTATTCTTATTGACAAACTATTCTACTGTTATCTGGTCTCCTTACCGATATAAATTTGAGTCTGGCCATTCTGTTGTGATTTCAATTTAAAATATCCATGACCACCTGGTAACTCCCAGTGCAGTTTATGGTAGCTGAACAGACTTAATACAAATTCTACTGAAATCTTGTAAAAAATAATTCATTGTTTACACACCATTAAGCCAAACCAGAGACCATATATTATATGGTCTCTGGCCAAACTATTTATTGTGAGTTTAAATAATTTTGCGGGTTGTATTTGAAGTCGAAATATTGACCTTTTGGCCATATCTAGATATATGTCAGAAACTAACTAAATTGATATATTGATATAATGTATCAAATTGTAACCTACTGAGAATTTACAATCGTAACAAATCAGAAGTTTACATCAGTTGTGTATTTGATGTAAATTGTAATGGACTCAAATGCATTCCAATAAAATATTAGACCTCTAGATCTACTTGTGCTGTTGGGATTGTGAACAGTTGTTATTTTCATTCTCAATGTTGACAGGTTAGATAGCATGAGGTGTAATATTTCAACTGAATTATTACATAAAGGGTGTGTAAATGTTTAAAGTAAAGTACAGTTTGATCTGCAATTTTGGTAACAATTAATATTTCTACCAAAATTATATTTACTTTACTGTACCAATTTAATCATGTCATGAAATGAACAAAAACCCAACTAATAATGTCCAGTAAATGTTCAATCTACATGTGATCTTTATATAATTTACAGAAACAGATAACTCTTTAACAGCTTGTATTCAAATATTTCAAATGCATAAATTGATATTGATATTACTAAAAACTTAAAGTATAAAAAGAATTATTTTTAATTCCCATGCGTATTACAATCATAACTCATTTATTCCCTTTGTTTAATTGTGAAACTCTTCTGGTTTTATGTCCACAAACATGTTTTGAAACTTTTAAAACAAAAAGATATTTTTGGGTTCAAGCAATTGCCATGTATTATTGATTATTAATCATATCAATTTATATATAAGAATATAGTTGTGCTTACTGTGTCATTTTGCAATAATTATATTGTTATGATGTCATATTTTACTATTGTTAACAATCTTAGAACTTTAGTTTATTTCAATCACGTCAAGTGGTGTGATCATTTTGATATTTTTTTATAATTCAATCAAAACGAGAAAAATAAAAAAATATAAATACATAGAAGAAATTTGTTTTCCTTGTCAAATCACGATGATAGCATGAATTTATCTCATGCTCCTTGTATAGCATGCTCCTTGTGAAAATTCATTCGATTTCTTCTTCGAATGTACCTTATATGATGATTTTAGGGAGACATTACTGACAGCTATCGATAATCTTGGAGGACAAAATACTCTACATAGTATTCTTTTTGGTGATTCAAACTTAGATGTTTTCCTGAATACAAAAATATTCTTGTCTGTACACAAATTTATAGAAACGACTAACAGATTCAGTAGCTAGCATATTATTGTTTCCAAACTGTTAATCATTAATATTGTTAAATCTATATTCAACACTAAAATGTATAATATTAGGATATGTTTGAGATGCACACTGTCTTCACTTTCCAGCACATTGTACATATCCTTCATATGAGCACTGTATATATATTGCGCACTATGTTTCCACAATGTGAAGCTTCAACTGTAAATTGTTCATTTTCATTATGCAATATTATGTATAACTGTATATAGGGAGAAGGCGGTAATAAGTGCTGCCCTTTGTCTTTTTGGACAATAAAATATGTTTAATAATATTTCATCTTGTGATCTGACAAAGTCAATATTTTCAAGTCAAAATATCAACTTTAGTAAACCACATGAAGAGATAAATATTTCATTTGACAAAATAAATTCAAGTCTTATATTTTCTTTGTGATCTTCATGACCTTACTCAGAAAACCATAGTGTCAATGAGGCAGACTGACTGTAGGTGTGACAAAACGTGATATTTCACCTGATTTTAATAAAAATCTTATTTTTTTCACTCTAGCGAAAGTATGTTTTCAGCATGGTCATGATTAAATACATACCGGTAATACAAATATCAAAACGTGTTTCATTAAAAACAAGAGTGAATTTCTGTGTGACATTGATATAAAGAGCTGTAGTACACTGTCATTAAATTGATGCATCTGTTGAGTTTACCCTTTACACAGAATATACTGTTTGAGTTTTCGACATATCAGATGAATTGATGCCTTCAAGATTGTTCTAAAGTACATGTAGCATGTAATGTTACACACTGTGATTCATTTTCCTTAAACTTCTCTATTTCAGAAGAATGTTGTTTTCTAAATAAGCAATAATTTGAGAGAAGGTGAATATGCATTGTTTATAAAAAATGTTATTGAAGTAGGAATATTATTACTATATAATAGAATTATTCATTTCAGGCCAGCGAGTCAACACAATGAAGTACTAGTATCAGGTGACGGATGTCTGGAGGAGCTTTCTGCTGACAGTAACACAATGGTTACAATGTGCGTCCTGTCAAAGGACAAGGAAGTGAAAAGCCATATTCATTCAATCAACAAATGTGGTTCCTGTCACATTTCTCTTAAATAGGACGAGGAACTGAAAAGCCTTATTCACTCACAAATCAACATGGCAAATATTTATCGGACACTGAAAAAGTACAATTGTACCATTTGTTTACAAGCAAGAAAATTATTTTCTCCTGGAATTTAATTAGGTGCTTTTGACTGACAAAGACACCCAGTCCATGTTAAGTTTTGAAAACTTATATTGTGAGAAATAAAGATATGAAAATTTTGGTTTGTTTTTCTTTGTCAAATATAAGAAATCCAGATTGTTCCATCAACATAATTTGTACCGATACATATATTTTATCTTTGCTTGATTACCAATTGAAGTTGATTCCTTTTTATCTTTTGTTATTTTATCTGTACTCATATCTGATCAAGACATTTTCAAACTATTCAGGATAAATGTATTAGTAGCTTCCTTTTGATATACAATTACCTTTCATCATACAGGATTAGGTGAGGGTGTTCAAGAAGTTGGTAGTTGTATCAATTCTTATATTTCTTCAATTTCATGCATTATTTAAATTTATCAATTTTTAGTTTCCTTTTAACTTATTTTAAACAGTTCACACATTATTACTTTTGTAGTGCACGGTGCAATCTCAATCGGCAATAATCAGTTAAGTAAGTGATGTTTGAAGAACAAGTAAAGTATCATCTGTCATTGTACACACTGAATAGGGTTATCGCCCCTTCTGAATATTAATTTGGACACACGAATTATTTTCATAATTAACATTGTAATATGTTAAAATGAAAATCATAGCAGAAAAAGTGTCTTTTGTCAACTGGACTCATGGCAAAACGATAGTGCGTTGTGCAGCAAACACCACTATGAAACGTGAAATAAACATGATCTCAATCTTGATCTAGAGTTCGCCAAGCCACGCATTGACTGAGCAATTTTGCAAAAGTACACTGACGTGTTTCATGTTATACGGTTTATTTACGATAGAAAACTTCTGTCATTGAATGTACTGTCACATTGTACCTATATGCCGACGAGGTTATGATAAAACAATCTATTTTTGAAATATGTATCTCGAAATGCACGTTTCGTTTCACTTCCGGGATCCTGACAGCAAAATGCTAATTCCAGTGTATAACAGGCATATTTTAGTTGGACCTCATGATTTAATGTGAAATATATTCT